TCTGGTTGCTGTGGTTGTAGGTTGGCTGGTCCTTTTGGGCCGAGTGTTTTGTATCAGGAAAGGTCAGTTAGGTGAGAGGCAAGGTTTTGTCCTCTGTTGAGGAGGTTAGTTGTGCTTAGGCGGTGGGTTAAGGGGTTAAAGTACCCTGGAGATGTGGAGAAGTTTGAGAGAGGGGTTTGTTTTGTGAGCATAAGTGTTTGGGCTATTTTGGAGATTTCCAGGGCTCAAGCAATGCCTAGGGCTGTTACAACCAGGCTGTTGCAATCCTGCAAATGCACTGAACCCCTGGGGTCACAGAGCCTGCAGCAGCTGGGGGAGTGCTCACCTGGGCAGGGTTCCCAGTGGGTGCTGCATCGGATGTTCACCCGTGGGTGCTGCATCCCTCCCTCCCGTGGGTACTGCTGCATCCCTCCCTTGGGTGCAGCATTCCTCTGGGTGCTGCTGCATCCTTCCCTCCCTTGGGTGCTGCTGCATCCTTCCCTCCCTTGGGTGCTGCTGCATCCCCTCTCCAGTGGGTGCTGCTGCATCCCTCCCATGGGTGCTGCATCCCCCTGGGTGCTGCTGCATCCTCCTCCCTGTTGGTGCTCCTGCATCCTTCCCTTGGGCGCTGCTGCATCCCTCCTGCGGCTGCTGCATCCTTCCCTTGGGTGCTGCTCCATCCTCCCCTCCCGTGGGTGCTGCTGCATCCCCCTCTTGGGCACTGCATCCCTTCCTCTTCCTCCCGTGGGTGCAGCATCCCCTCCCTTGGGCACGGCATCCCTTCCTCTTCCTCCCGTGGGTGCCGCATCCCTCCCGTGGGTGCCGCATCCCTCCCGTGGGTGCCGCATCCCTCTCGTGGGTGCATCCTTTCCTCCCGTGGGTGCCGCATCCCTCCCGTGGGTGCCGCATCCCTCCCGTGGGTGCAGCATGCCGCCCGTGGGTGCAGTGCCGCCCGTTGCCGGTGCTGCCCCGCTCCGGGATCTCCCGCAGCCCCGGTGCTCGGAGCAGCCGCGCTGGGGCTCATTACTATTGCCTTGCTCATTCCGTTACTCGCTGCTCGTTGCGTAACGGCGGCCGGGCTGTCCCTGCCCCATCAGCCGCTCCGCTGGCGGCAGGAGGGAGGGAAGGAGGGACGGACGGGGGCCGGTCCCCGTGCTGCGTCACCGTCCGTGTCACTGTCACCGCCAGGGTGGCACGGCCGGGGCTGCCGCGCACAGCGGACGGGCTTGGGGCACCCGGGATGGGCCCTGCTCGCAGGAGAAGCCCGGGGAGGCTCCCGGCAGCGTCTCCGTGAGCTGCAGGGCTGCAGGGAGCAGCTGTGAGCAGCCCCAGCTCGCTGATTGCTCACTCACTCACTCACTCACTCAGCATGGAGGATTCTGCGGAGCAGAGTCAGGAGATGAGGTACCACATGCTGCAGAGGTAAGGATGGCTGATCTGCCTGCCTCCCCTGCCTGGGCTCTGCTGGGGATGCTCTCTGAGCTCCTGGGGTTCATTTTATCCTCTGGAACTCTGGCAGAGCCCCTGGGCTCTGTGCTGGGGATGCTCTCTGAGCTCCTCATGTTCATTTTATCCTCTGGAACATCCCCTGGGCTCTGGGCTGGGGATGCTCTCTCAGCCCTTGCTGTTCATTTTATCCTCTGGAACTCTGGTAGAGGCTCTGTGCTGGGGATGCTCTCTGAGCTCCTGGGGTTCATTTTATCCCCTGGGCTCTGTGCTGGGGATGCTCTCTGAGCTCCTGGGGTTCATTTTATCCCCTGGGCTCTGTGCTGGGGATGCTCTCTGAGTTCCTGGGGTTCATTTTATCCCCTGGGCTCTCCGTGCATGCAGCCTGTGACAGAGGTGCCAGGGCACAGCTCAGCTGGGGGATCAGGGATGCTCAAGTTGGAGGTTCTGCACAAGTTCTACGCCCTGTGTCCTCGTTCATATTTAAATTAATTTCAGCATTGTCTGGGGCTAAATTACACAGGGACTTTCTCAGAGATCTCTTCACTGGATCTCAGTGCTGGGAGTGAAATGCACAAGGCTGTGCACTGTGCACTGGTATATTTCATGTACAGAAATATAAAGGTAAACTTCAGATATATACAACTGTGGAGGTGAATTACATATAAATATAGAGACTGTATTTTATAAATATACTTGTATAATCTATGCACATATAGAGGTATATACACAAACATGGAGGTATGTTATATATACAAATAAAGGGGAGAAAAGCATTTTGAGAATTTGTCCACCACAAAACGTGGCAGTTGTGAGCAGGTGGTTAATAGGGATGACAGTCACTAACTCAGCATTTATTCTGTTTTGTTTTGAAAGATCCATGCTTTCTTCCCTCCTGTCCAGCTTCTACCCCATCTTATCCTGCAAAAAATCCCCCAACTCTTCTGTTTTGATTACAGTGTGCAGCCTGTGATTATTGATAAATAAACTTGGTGTTCTTGGCTTGCTCACAAATCAAACTGTAGTTGTTTATGTCCAAATGTTTGTTGCATCCTGAATTACGAACCTCAGTCTGTGTTGACATTTTGCCTGGAGCAGTGTCTTTGTGTTTGGTAATTTCTTGATGGGACAGTTCATATTTAAACATGTTCACAAATCCTCTCCTTGGCATTTTGGTCTTGTTTTTGTTGAGACTGCTCTCAGTAACCCTGTAATGCATGAACCTCTCTGGCTCCTTGGACTGTGCTCCTTCCTTGCCAGGAAGACTCTGACCCCCTAAATGCATCCACTTAGTAGAAATTCAACCTTAACTGCACCTTTGCTCTCTTTCTTGCCTGTTTCTCCTGCCCTTGCATTCCCAGGCTGAGTTCACAGCAGTGTGAGAACTTTTGGGGACAGCTCTGAGTTTGGTGGCAATGTCTGCAAGTGCAGCTGGGTGGAAGAAGGGAAAGTACCAGGGGCTGAACCTGTGCACACAGAGCTCGTTCTGTGCCTTTCTCTGGCTCTCAGCTGCTCTCTGAGATAAGATACTCGAGTGGATGGGGTTCTTGTGACCCAGCACAGGTCCCAGGGTGTCACTGGCAGGGACAGCCGTGCTCTGGGGTGTCCCTGTGCTCCTGGTGAGGTGCTGAGGAGGCTCTGTGCTCTATATGGGGAAACCTTCATGGCCATAAAGGCTTTCTGGGGGAATGTGAGGGGGAATTCCCTGTCAGGCTGTGGCCAGGCCCCTGGAGCAGCAGCTCCCTCCGGCAGGGATGCTCCAGCAGCAGCTCTGGGGCTCCCTGGCCTTGGTGGCAGAAGGAAACCCGTGCCTTGGCTTCTCCTGGTGCTGCTTTTCCCTTTGTGCCCTCCCCCAGCAGCTCTCCCTGCATCCCATGCCGTTCCCAGGGGAATTGCTCAATGGAGCAGCTGAGTAGGGCAGAGGTTCCGTCCAGAGGGTTCCTGGGCACAGATCTGCAGTGACCCTTGGTGCTGCTGGGGCTTCCCAAAGCTCTGAGCCGAGATCCTCATTCCTGAGCATTCTGGATTGCTCATTCTGAGCTGAGATCCTCATCCCAATCCTCATTCCTGAGGATTCTGGATTGCTCATTCTGAGCTGAGATTGTCATCCCAATCCTCATTCCTGAGGATTCTGGATTGCTTTTTCTGAGCTGAGATCCTCATCCCAATCCCCATTCCTGAGGATTCTGAATGCCTCATTCTGAGCTGAGATTGTCATCCCAATCCTCATTCCTGAGGATTCTGGATTCCTCATTCTGAGCTGAGATCCTCATCCCAATCCCCGTTCCTGAGGATTCTGGATTGCTTTTTCTGAGCTGAGATCCTCATCCCAATCCCCATTCCTGAGGATTCTGAATGCCTCATTCTGAGCTGAGATCCTCCTTCCCAATCCCCATTCCTGAGGATTCTGGATTCCTCATTCTGAGCTGAGATCCTCATCCCAATCCCCGTTCCTGAGGATTCTGGATTGCTTTTTCTGAGCTGAGATCCTCATCCCAATCCCCATTCCTGAGGATTCTGAATGCCTCATTCTGAGCTGAGATCCTCCTTCCCAATCCCCATTCCTGAGGATTCTGGATTCCTCATTCTGAGCTGAGATCCTCCTTTCCAATCCTCATTCCTTCATAAGGGTCAGTGCTGCTGCCAGGGGCAGGGGAAGGGCTTCCCTGTACTCCTGGGGAGGGAAACTTGGGGAAATCACAGTGAAAACAAGTGATCTGTGGGCTGAGCAGAGGTGAAGCTTCAGTGCCTGTGACATTTCTCATGAGTTCCCTGATTTCCAATCCTGCTGCACCAGGGCAGACACGGGGTGTGAGGAGCAGCTCTGTGCTCTCCCCTGGAATTTCCTCTCACAGACTGAGCTTTGGGAGCCCTGGCAGAGCAGAGCCAGAGGGGATCTGTGCCTGTGGCGTTGCTGTGGGAGCTGGAGCAGGAGGAGGGGAGGTGGCTCTGCCATTCCCACACACAGGAGCTGTGCAGGGCACGGGGCTGGGCTTGGCAGGCACAAAATTGGCTTTCTGTGTTTGGAGTAGGAGTAATGTGATTAATTTGTCCTCTGGCTCCCAGAGCTTTTGAGGAAGATATTAAAGACTAGTGGAGAACTCCTGGAAGATGATTTCCATAGCCAGTCTGAGTCTCTCATTTGCACCTGGAGATAAATTTGCTGTGCTTTCCAGGAGGATTTCCTTACAGAGCCTGATCTTTGCAGCTTGCTTTGCCAAAGCCAGAAATCACTGTTGTTTCCAGCTTCTCTGGATGGATTGAAAGCAATCTGGTGGAGCATTGTTCTGTGTTGGACAGCAACACACAGCAAAAGTAATTTTACCTATTTATGGTTTTGGCATAGCTGGGATTTTTCCAGATAACCTGAAACTTTTGCAAAATAACTGAAAAGTAGTTTAAAAGGAGTTATCCCTGCAAAACAGAGCACCAGTTTGAGGGTCTGGGGGCAAGGAGAGATTCTGCTTGTCTGACTGGGGAGTGTGGCCAAAGAGAACCTTCCCACTGCTCACACACTTTGTTCTGCTGGTGTCCAGCTGTCCTGACAGGCTGTGTGTGTCTGTCCCTCTCCCCAGGCCCAGCATGTCTGGTTTGCACCTTGTCAAGCAGGGCCGGGACAGGAAGAAGGTGGATGTGCAGCGGGATTTCACCGTGGCTTCTCCAGCGGAGTTTGTGACTCGCTTTGGAGGCAATAAAGTTATTGAGAAGGTAACTCCCTGTCCTGTTCCAGATATCCCAGCTCCTCTCTGCAGCTTTGCCTTGTCTCTAAAGCTGTACATTGCAGGTATCAAATTACTGACGTTTCTGAGCTTGGAGGTTGTGCTTCTGCCTGGAATCATCGTGTTTCCTTTTTCTCTGTGATAAACAAATATCTGATTATTTTATCTTAAAGTAATAAGAAAAAATATGTGAGTGAGCCAGAGCACTTCTGCTGGTACAGAAGGACTTATAGACAAAAAAACCCCAAAAGCAGACTGGAAAAACATTAAGAAATGTATTTTAAAATGCTTAATAATTTGATTTGAGTCTTTCTGCTCTTTAATCCAACCAAGGCATAGCACATTAAAATTTTATGGTGAAACAGGAGCTGCTGTCTGAACTGACAGATGGGCCATGAGCTGGATGCTGGCTAAAAAACTGCACAGCCCCAAACTGGGCAATAAATCTGTGGGGGAAAAAAACTTCTTTAATGACTGTTAACATGTAACTATAAATGTAAATATATAAATAGAAAATATACAAATATAAAATTGTAAATATAAATAAATATAAATATAAATTTTGTGCTGTTTATATAAATATAAAATATATAATGTATATTTATAATATATAAATAATGATATATAATAAATATATAGTGTATTTTTATATAAATATATGAATGAATATATAAATATATTTTCCTGCTATTATATACATATATACTATATTAATATAAATATATAATAATGTATATTTATGTATATATAATAAATAGATAATACTCATTTTAATATAAATATAAACATACAAATTATGAATTAAATATATAAATATAAATATGTGCTATTTATATAAATATAAAATATATTAATAGAAATATTTAATAGTGTATATTTATAATATATAAATAATAATATATAATAAATATATTATATATTTTTATATAAATATAAAATATATAAATATATAAAATATTAATAACTATATTAATATAAATTCTGTGCTATTTAGACTCTGTTTGATGCCAGCTTCTGATGCCCCCAGGTGCTGATAGCCAACAATGGCATTGCAGCAGTGAAGTGCATGAGGTCCATCCGCCGCTGGTCCTACGAGATGTTCAGGAACGAGAGGGCCATCAGGTTCGTGGTCATGGTCACCCCTGAGGACCTCAAAGCCAATGCAGGTGAGCTGGGCAGGGTCACAGCCTTCTCCTGGCACAGCAGGATTTTAGAGTGAGTCTTGCTCTAAAAAAGTAGGATTTTGGTGTGAGTCCTGCTCTAAAAAAAGCAGGATTTTGGAGCGAGTCTTGCGCTAAAAAAGCAGGATTTTGGAGTGCTGTTAGATTTGCAGCCTGATGTACCCCTGTGTTTGCAGAGTACATTAAAATGGCAGATCACTACGTGCCCGTGCCAGGAGGACCCAACAACAACAACTATGCAAACGTGGAGCTCATCCTGGACATTGCCAAGAGGATCCCAGTGCAGGTGAGAGGTGCCACAGACCCTGAGCTGTCTCCTGTCCTTCAGGAAGGAGCTGTGCTGGGGAGCAAGGCAGGACAGAGAAACTGGAATTCCAAACCAGATGGGCACCCAAAGGCAGCCATGGGACAGTGCAGGGCTGTCCCAGTGGGAATATCTGCAGGAGAAGGAGATCCCTGCAGCACTTTCCTGCACCCAGATCTTCCTCAGATCCTCCTCACCCAGATCTTCCTCACCCAGCTCCTCCTCAGCTCCTCCTCAGCCTGCTTGCACTTGCCTGCAAGGTGCAAGCCACCCTTTAAATTCAGCACACCCTGCAGCTCAGAGGCTGTTCTGTTTTCCACGAGGAAAAGAAAGACTTGGAGTGTTTGCATGTGTCTGTTTCTGCTCACTTGCTTGTTGCATTCAGACAAAGAGCAAATTGTTTGTTTTCTCCTGCAGGCTGTGTGGGCTGGCTGGGGCCATGCATCAGAGAACCCCAAACTGCCAGAACTTCTCCACAAAAACGGGATTGCATTCATGGGTGAGGAGATGGACTGCTCTTCTGGTGTCTGTTCCTTGTTTGGAGGTGGGGAGGTTTAGCGGGATAGAAACCCCGAGCCCAAGAGAGAGCCATGAGGAGTGGTCTGCAGTGCAGGATGGATGAAATGTTCTTTACAGCAGTTCTTGTATGGAAGAAGGGGAAAGTTTTCCAAAACATCCTTTAATGTAGAGGTAAAAAATCAGAAAAGATTCCTGATAAAGCAGATTGTCCCTGTTCTCATTTTAGACAGGGCTCAGTTTTATGGGAGGAGTGGGGCTTTTCCTGAATCAGATTTCTGGACCTGCCCTAATGCCCAAACCCCTGTGTCTCTCTCATGCATGGTCTTTGCTCTCTGCAGGTCCTCCCAGCCAAGCCATGTGGGCCTTAGGAGATAAAATTGCCTCTTCCATCGTGGCTCAGACTGCTGGCATCCCAACTCTTCCCTGGAGTGGCAGTGGTAAGAGGGAAATTGTCCTGTGTTTATCAAGAGCATCCTGATCTTCTTCCTGATCATGCCTCCAGCATGTCCAATTTTTAGGAAGCTCTGTGCTCACAAGTGTGTTCCAGGAGGTGTTCTGTCTGTTCAGGGTTTCCCATTTGTGCTGTCTGCCCAGCACACCAGTGACACTGGGGGTGGGATGAGCGTGGGCTGGTGGGGGAAGCTGGCGGCATGCAGAGGAGGGATGGGAGGAGAAGTGAGCAAACATGGAAGGGGTTCTTTCCTGGAGTGCAGCTGATCCTCACGGGCTCACCTGGTCTGATGGAAGGTGTCCCTGCCCTGGAACAAGGTGATCCTTGAAGTCCCTTCCAACCCAAAGCCCCCCATGATCCTGTGCAGTTTTGGAGCCCATGCTCTGCTGCCGTGGAATTCCTCTGCAGCTCCAAAGCCCTGTAAATAACAGCCTGCTTCTCTCAGATGAATAGAGGAGGATGTGATGCATTGGATAAAACCCCTTGCTCCCCAGAGATCAGCAATGTCTGTTTGCTCTCTCCACTCTCCTTTTCTGAGGGCTCCCAGCCCTTGCTCAGCACTGTGACTGTCACTTGTGTCCTGCAGTGGCTCCTCACAGCCTGGCAGCACAGGGAGCTCAGAGGGTGCTGAGGACATTTCTTGGTTTAAAGGTGTGATTTGTGTAGATTGTGCACATTTTAACTGTGCCTAGACCAGCTCAGGGGGTTCCTCTGCCCCTGGGGTTTGGAATTCACCCCTGAGAATTATTGGATAGACAGAGGAGATGAATGGGTTCATTTGGAGGGGCTTTATCAGACTTCAGCTGGAAATACAGACTCCAGTCTGGCTTTGTCAGTTTGTGCTCTGGTTTTAAGTCACTTTGTGCTCCAGGGCTGCGAGTGGACTGGCAGGAGAACGACCTCCAGAAGCGCATCCTGAGCGTTCCCCAGGAGCTCTACGAGAAGGGCTACGTCAGGGACGCTGATGATGGCCTCAGGGTGGGTCTGGGGGGCTCCCAGCGTGGCTCTGGGGGTTTTCACGTTACCCAGATTTTTTAATGATTTTCTGTATTACACAAAAGCTTTTCTGTGAATTCGTAGATTTAATAGCATTGAAGCACTGACAAAACATTTTGTGATCGCTTGCAGCGGTCAGAGTTCTCTGTAATCACAAAATCCCTGCTGATTTTTCCAGCTACAAGCACTCTTGCCAATGGGATGTTTGGTTTCTATGCCATTGGTTGCTAAATAGTCATATGTGGATGTGAATCAGAAGGGGAATAAGGAAATAATGATCTTTTTGCTGGATTCTGCTGCCTTTTTATCCTTACCTGCTGTTCTGCCCCTCTTGCCAGGCTGCTGAGGAGGTTGGCTACCCTGTCATGATCAAGGCCTCTGAAGGAGGAGGAGGAAAAGGGATCAGGAAAGTGAACAATGCAGATGACTTCCCCAACCTGTTCAGACAGGTGATGCTCCCACTCCCCTGGGCTGCCTCGCTCGGCTCTGTGTGAGACCCCAGCACTGAGGGCGCCTCTCTCACGGGGTGCTCGGCCTCTCTCTGCCCCTGCTGCAGGTTCAGACAGAGGTGCCAGGCTCCCCCATCTTTGTGATGAGGCTGGCCAAGCAGTCCAGGCACCTGGAGGTGCAGATCCTGGCAGACCAGTACGGCAACGCCATCTCGCTCTTCGGCCGCGACTGCTCCGTGCAGCGCCGCCACCAGAAGATCATCGAGGAGGCCCCAGCCTCCATTGCCACCTCTGCAGTGTTTGAGCACATGGAGCAGGTGAGAGGGGCTCTGCAGCTTGCCCTGCCCCGCCAGGACTTGGTATTTTTGTTTTACATTTGCATTGTTGAGTGTTTTAAAGGAGCGATGCAGGGCTGTGTCTCTCTACCTGCTTGGTGTGGGCAGCCACTCACATTTGCACACTAAATCTCACCAACAGCTAAATCTCCAGTCTTCCACACTAAATCTCCAACGCCAACAGCTCATTTCAAAGATAAATGCCCCCCCAAAAAAGGGGAGGGAAGTGTGTTTTAAATGTGTTAAGTTTTGCATTGGTTAGTGTTCTAAAGGAGCGATGCAGGGCTGTGTCTCTCCACCTGCTTGGTGTGGGCAGCCACTCACATTTCCACACTAAATCTCACCAACAGCTCCTTTCAAAGATAAATGCCCCCCCAAAAAGGGGAGAGAAGTGTGTTTTAAATGTGTTATCATATCAAAAGCAAGTTTCAGGAGTTGCAGGAATTGCCTGATGTTGAGTGTTGCAAATATTTGCTTCAAACTCTGCCTTCTGTGAATTGTAAATGAAATAAGTCAGAAATCAAAACTCCACTGGCTTTTCTCTTGGGCCTGTTACAAGTGTTGGGGTGTTTCAGAATGGCAGCAGAAATCTGGAGTGGGTGTGCTGGGTGAACAGAGCGAGCAGGGGTGTCTGGCGATGCAATATTCTTGTTTTGTGTGTCTGGCAGTGCAATATTCTTGTTTTGTGTGTCCCAGTGTGCAGTGAAGCTTGCCAAGATGGTGGGATACGTGAGTGCAGGCACTGTGGAGTACCTGTACAGCCAGGATGGCAGCTTCTACTTCCTGGAGCTGAACCCACGGCTGCAGGTGGAGCATCCCTGCACTGAGATGGTGGCAGATGTCAACCTGCCAGCAGCACAGCTCCAGGTGAGCACACACATGGAGTTTCCCACCTTTCAGCAGTTGTTTGATGCTCCCCAAAGGCACCAGGGGTTCCCTCAGAGATCCTGTAGAGAGCAGTTGTTGGTGTGCTGTGGCTTGTCAGTCCCTTGTGTGTCCCCCAACTTCCCAGCAGTGGGTGGATGCCACAGTCCCCTCACACCTCAGTAAGGCTCTGTGTGATTTTCTACTTCTTTTTTAAACTGTATCTATAAAAAAACCCCAACTAATGAACAGGGAAAATGGGATTTGCTCCATGAGGATGCAGCCAGCAGCTGGTTCTGCAGCTTACTCTCCCCACAGTTTATAATTCCAAAATTCCACAGTTTCCTCTAAATAATTAGGGCCCTTCTGCCTCACTGGGACCTCAGTGTATTTTTACCAGGCCTAATGCATGCCCATCCTCAGCTGACCTGGCACTGCCAGCTTTCCCTGGAGCCTTTTAATCAGTCAGTGGAAAATGCTGGCTGGAGGGCTTAAGGTGGATATTGCACTGAGCTGAGCTGTCCTGGGAAGTGTGAGTGCTTGGCTCTGTGAGGAGGCAAACTCACTGGTGGGGTTTGTTTATTTATCTATGTTTTCCTCCTCAGATTGCCATGGGGATCCCCCTGCACAGGATCAAGGACATCAGGGTGATGTATGGAGTTTCCCCCTGGGGGGACACAACCATTGACTTTGAGAACTCGGCCCACGTGCCCAGCCCTCGTGGGCACGTCATCGCTGCCCGCATCACCAGCGAGAACCCTGACGAGGTGAGGCCTCCCCTCTGGGCCTGCTGCTCACCCTGGCCTGCCCAGGGCCTCTCCCTGCTGCTGCTGCTCGACATTTTGGCAGCAAATTGAAGAGATTCTTCCCTTACCTCACTTATACCCTGTTAGACACAGCCTGAACTTGTTACACCACGGTGCAGCACAAAGAGCTGTTCTCAGAGCCCTCATTCTGGGTTATTCACCTTTTCTGTAGGGCACAGAGCAATGTCTGAGTGTCTGTCTGTCTTTGCAGGGGTTCAAGCCCAGCTCTGGCACAGTCCAGGAGCTGAATTTCCGCAGCAATAAGAATGTCTGGGGCTATTTCAGCGTGGCTGCTGCAGGAGGGCTCCACGAGTTTGCTGATTCCCAGTTTGGCCACTGCTTCTCCTGGGGGGAGAACCGTGAGGAGGCCATCTCGTAAGTGATGTGGGAGGCCTTGGCAATTGCTTGGCTTGGTCCTCTTTGATCCAGGGAAAACAAGGCTCCTTACTTCTGGGAGTTTCAAGAGCAATTTCCCCGTCTTTATCTTGTTTTCCATTTTGTGGCCAGGCTTCTCATCCTATCTTGCTTTGCAATTCCACTATGTTCCACCTACATTTCTACACTTTTTGCTTAATTTTTTTTCTTTTTCGTCCTTTTTGTTTCATCCCTGCCTTGTATACCTGCTGCTGGGCTGTGACACAGCCACCACAGGGTGAAAATCCCTCTTTACAGCATCCAGGTGAAGGCTTCTAACAGGAAAACATTGCTAACCTGACTGACCATGGAGTGTCCTCTGTGGTGTGGGATTTTAAAGCACGTGGTCCTCAGGCAGACCTGTCTGACCTGTCATCCACGTTTTTCATCCAGAGCCTTTCCCAGTTCCACTCTGGGTGGGGTGGACACCACATCTGTCTGTCTGTCTGTCTGTTGTACACCCCTGACACGTGGTAGGGCCTGGGTGATGATAACAGGGGAAACTCCTGATCCCACTGAGCTGCTCTTCACACCAGCAGCAGGGAAATCAACACTCTCCCATTCCCAACCATCCCTTCAGCAGGGAAATCAGTATTCTCCCATTCCCAACCATTCCTTCAGCAGGGAAATCAGTATTCTCCCATTCCCAACCATCCCTTCAGCAGGGAAATCAGTATTCTCCCATTCCCAACCATCCCTTCAGGACCCTGCTCCATCCAGTGCCCGCGCTCCTCTGCTCTGACCTTCAGGTGCTTTTCTGTCTGCAGCTGCCATTAGGATGGGATAGATAACAGGGCTTCTTTCCCCTTTCAGGAACATGGTGGTGGCTCTGAAGGAGCTGTCCATCCGAGGGGACTTCAGGACCACTGTGGAATACCTGATCAAGCTGCTGGAGACAGAGAGCTTCCAGCAGAACCGCATCGACACGGGCTGGCTGGACCGGCTCATCGCTGAGAAAGTGCAGGTGAGCTGCTTGCCCTGCAGGGACACACCTGGCAGGGGCAGGGGTGGTGTCTGCTGCTGCTGAAGGGTGTAGGAATGGTCACTGTCCACTTGATGAATAAATATTTTCGAGGCATTGCTTCTTACATATATCAGAATCCTAGGTCGTCCCTGTTGGCTAAAGTTGGTCTTAAAGTTGTCCAGAAAACCATTGAGACAATGTTATGTTTGGAATCTGGGACAGATGACAGTGGAAGTGTTGTTGGAACCTCAAGATGTGATCCAGGCAGAAGAAAATGTAGTTTTAAAGGGTTACAGAAATAATGGCTTCTGTGTAGGGTTCACATGGCTGCCACACTGACTTGATTTTAGAGCGTTGGCCGTGAACCAAAAATGGAGCTGAGGCTGCTGATTCTTGTAGCTGTGTGTTGAGCCTGGGCTGAGGCTGGGGGAGGTGTGACTGTGGCTGTCCCTTTTTTAGGCTGAGAGGCCTGACACCATGCTGGGGGTGGTGTGTGGGGCCCTGCACGTGGCTGACGTGAGCTTCCGAAACAGCGTCTCCAACTTCCTGCACTCCCTGGAAAGGTGAGAGGCCGAGCTGCTCTCCAGGAATCCCTGCTGCTCTACAGGTTCTGTTCAGTGCAGCCCAGCAATGCTCAGGGGCTGTTATCTGCTGGCTGCTGCCTGGCCCCAGGGAGCTCTTTATCTGCTGGGAAAACTGGCAGGTATCTGCATCTGCAAACATCCCCTGCTGGCCGCACAGATTGCTTTGGTTTCTAGCAGGAGCTCCAGGAAATGGCTCAGAAACACCGAGTTCTTGCTCTGTGTGCTGCTAGGGCAGCATTAGGGAGTCTGGAATCACCCAGGAGTGGATGGAAAGGAGAGCAAAGCTGCCCTGTGTGGCTGGAGGGACTTGGCTTGACTTGGTCAAACTGATTCGCGTCTCTCCTAAGAAGAGGCTCTATAAAAACCTACTCCCATCTCTCTGCCAGTGTTTCCTAAAGCCTTGCATGCATCTCTGAAGCTCTTTGGACCCCTGGTAGTCATTGGGTGGCTTGTGGAAGATCAGTTTTGTTTTGTCCTTCCCTTTCCAGGGGCCAGGTCCTCCCTGCTCACACTCTGCTCAACACGGTGGACGTGGAGCTCATCTACGAGGGACGGAAATACGTGCTGAAGGTACAGAGTGGGACCCATCCCCTGCCTGGGCTGCACATGGCCCCCTGTGCTGCTCTGGCCTCCTCTTTGCACACATCTGTGCAGGGAGTTTTGTCTGAGCAGGGCTGATTTTCCCTGCTTTAGTGGGTGAGGAAATCAGCAGGACAGCACCCCTCGCATCGCCCCATTTCAATGTCTGTAAACATTTCAGCCTCTTGCTCTGAGCAGGGTGAAATTTGCTTTGTTACAGGCAAAGGCTACTACAAAGTAGTTTTGTTTTGGTTGAGCAAAACTTCCAGCTGATTTTTCTGAATGTGTAGGTCTGCTCTGCTGGGGTTTTGACACAGCAACGTGACAGAATTTGCAGCAATTTCTCCCCACGGTGTTGCTTTTTTTGCTACATGCAAAAGCCTCATGTTGCAAAACCGAACAAACATATGAAAGTTAGGAAATATTAGACTTAAGGTTGCCTGTGCAATCCTCTTTAGCTTACTGGGGCAAATTTGTGTTGGTGAAGTTTTTAATGGCAAGGCCATAGGCTGGTTTTTTGCAGCAGTGAGAATTCTGCACCTCCCTGGATTTATCTTTGGTGAGGAATAGAAGCATTGAACAGCAGCTGAAGTGTTCTTTAAAGGATTTACCCAGCTTCAAATAGCAGCTCTGGGGCAGAGACTGGGATAGGATCCCTTTCTCAGGGAGAACACTTGTTGCTGTGGGACAATCTCTCATTTTCCTCCCAAATTATTTCCTCCATTATGCAGTGTAAGTGCACAACTGTACCTTGTAAGGAGATAAGGGTGAGCAAATCGTGATTGCACAACCAAACCTCAACCTTCAGTGCAGAAGTGTGAGAGGATTAAATCAGCATTCATGGACAGCACTAGTCCTGGCATCTCTTGGCTGCTGTGTCACAGAATCCCAGACTGGTTTGGGTTGGCCCTTGTGAAAAGCCTCTCCATTTTTCTTGTGGGCTTTTGGAAGGCCACATTTAAACCTCCCCAGAATTTCTCTTCTCCAGGCTGAACAATCCCAATTCTCTGAGCCCCGAGCTGCTCCATCCCTCTGCTCAGCCCGCTTCCTTGCCTTTGTGACCCCAATTTTTTCACACAACGTCAAACCCCTCCGTTCCTCTTCATCAATTCCCGCTATTGCAGCACTTGGAGAACTCTGTGCTGTGGCAGGCAAGACCCTCAGTGCTGTGCTCAGTTCCCCGGGTAATTCCCACCCTTGTGGCTTGGCAGGTGACCAGGCAGTCTCCCAACTGCTACGTGGTGATCATGAACAGCTCCTGCGTGGAGGTGGACGTGCACCGCCTGAGCGACGGCGGGCTGCTGCTCTCCTACGACGGCAGCAGCTACACCACCTACATGAAGGAGGAAGTGGACAGGTAGCAGCTCCATCTTTAGCATGTACACTGCTAATGTGAGGTGCAGTTTGTGACTTCATGCTTCCCAAAAGGTCAGCTGGGAGGGGAGTTCTCTCCTAGGAGGAGTTTACTGGGTGCGCTGCGGGTGAGTTTTGAGACAGAGCAGATCTTGGCTGCTGTTAGAAGAAGGATCTGGCTGTGCACCGAGTGGAGTCCATATTCCTCTGCTTTGTCCTTAAAAGTGACTTTTGAGATTATAAAACCCAAAAAAACAGAACCTGAAGATCTTTAAAATTCTTGTAATTCCATGGCCGCTTCAGAAATAAAGACAAATTTCAGTGCATGCCCTCAAAATTCCCTGCAAGGATCAGAGCAGTAAGGGCAGTAAAGGGTATCCCCAGGTCTGGAATGTGAACTCTGCCCCCTCTGCTGTGTTATCTTCTGGGAAGAGTAATGGATCTGCTCAGGAGGACAGGGAATTTGGGTAACTCTTGGTTTGCAATCTCCACCTCTCCGTTGGCTGAGGTGTTTTCCCGTAGTTTTGTTTCAAAGTAGAACAGGGAAAGGCAGAGTGGATTTTCCCTTTCCCACACCTTCCCCATGGAATTCTGTCCCTCCCCAGGGAATTCTGTCGTGCTGATGTGTCCTGCTGTCCCCCAGGTACCGCATCACCATTGGGAACAAGACCTGTGTGTTTGAGAAGGAGAACGATCCCTCCATCCTGCGCTCCCCCTCCGCGGGGAAGCTGATCCAGTATGTGGTGGAGGATGGGGGACACGTGTTTGCAGGCCAGTGCTTTGCAGAAATTGAGGTAAAACTCCCAGAGAACTGGTTTGGACCAGGGGAGGGGTGTTGGATGCTCTGGGACTGGGATTCGAGCATGAGGGATCATTCACAGTGTTTAATTTACAAATTTTAACCTGAATACAGGTTAGAGTGATGGGGTGGGGAAGAAATTAAACAGCAGAAATTTGAGTGTTGATGACTCTACACCAAGTGATGAGCAAAATTTCCCCAAAAATCCTGAGATTGTCACCTTCCTGAGATTCCAAGGGAAGGTGGGATCCATTCCCAGCTGAGGTGAATGTACAGTGACACAAGTACAAGGTGAACTTGTACTGCTGACACAGAGTTGTGTGCCAGGATGAGGTAACAAACTTTATCCTGGTTAGCTGATCATTTATCAGGTTGATCCCAGAAGTTAATAAGTGCCACTCCTCCCTTCTCCCTAGGAAGTTACTTAACTCTTACTGAGGAGGAGGAGGAGGATGAGCAGTTTCTGCATCACGATGAGGAAAGCACAAGCGGCTGTGTAGGAGTGTGTGGCTCAAAACAGATTTGAGGGAGGGGAAGGTGTGTGATGACAGAGGGGCAATTAAACCAGCTGGGGACAATGTGTAGGAGAAGAATATCAAGACAGAGATGCAGCTATTTTATGTAAGTGCTTTTGCACTGCAACAGGTCATGGGTAAGAAGGCACCACCCACACAATCCCTGTGGTGTAGAGCAGAGCAAGGGTAAAACCAAGCTGGCTCCCCCATGCCCAACCCCTCTGCTCCAAAGGCAGCAGCTCTTGATCTAGGGAAGCATTTCTGTCTGGGAAGAGCTGTCTGAGAGCTCTAGAAAGTGATCCTGCTTCCCTCTGCTTGAAGTGAAGATGTGGCTGCAGCCTTTGAGAGGAGCCTTTGGAACGCAGCAGAAAATTGTCTGCCTTGTTCATTGTGCTGAGTGTGGGACCTTCCTGAGTGCCCTGTTGGTTCAGGCAGCGTGAGCAGTGCCATTCCTGAAGCTCCTGCTGCACTATTTTGTGGCCAGTTATTTTGTTCTCCCATTCACTTCAGTGTCTGGGGTTTGTTCCCAACATCTTGTGAGTTTTGGGCACACCTGAGTACAGCTCTGTCTGGGGTGGGACACTGCCTGCTGCCCCCCAAAACCAGAGCCATTTTGGGGCACAGGGGGATGGATGTGTAACCTGTTTCCTTGCTACAGGTGATGAAAATGGTGATGACCATAACAGCAGGGGAGTCAGGCTGCATCCACTATGTCAAACGCCCGGGGGCAGTCCTGGACCCAGGCTGTGTGATTGCCAAGCTGCAGCTGGATGATCCCAGCAGGGTTCAGCAGGTGAGGAGTTGCAGAAGGCGCAGATTTTGTGGGGTTTTAATGAGGGAGTAATGTTGGGAGCGGTACAGGATGTTCCAGTGAGCCAGTTTCCCATTTGTGCACTGGAATTGTCACTTCACCGTTTATTTGTCTCAGATGAGGACTGGCACTGAGATTTTTCTCTCCCTCTCTGATTCAGGCCAAACTTATCCACCATTCCTGCTCTCTGCTTACCTCAGCACTGTTGTGGGGTTGTACCTCTCAACCCAGTGCATTTCCCACTCTGGGAATCCTTGCAGGTTAACCCTTGGCTCCAGCTGAGGGTGGCTGGCTGTTCCCAGGGCTGGTGGCCCACAGGAGGCTCAGTGAGGCTGTTCCCCATTGCAGGCTGAGCTGCACACAGGAACCCTGCCCCAGATCCAGAGCACAGCCCTGCGGGGTGAGAAGCTCCACCGCATCTTCCACTACGTGCTGGACAACCTGGTGAACGTGATGAATGGCTACTGCCTGCCAGAGCCCTTCTTCAGCAGCAAGGTACTGGGGCCTCTCTTCCAGAGCCTAAACAGCCTTCTTGCAGCTCAGGGAAGGGCTGGGCAATTTTCCTGCCACAGGGGAGGGGATGTTGGACATCACTCCTCTCCTTTTTCCTCTTGTTGTTGTTTTTTCTGTTCTTCATTCTTGCCTTCACTGCCTTGTCTGTCTCCAGGTGAAGGGCTGGGTTGAGAGGTTGATGAAGACCCTGAGGGATCCCTCTTTGCCCCTGCTGGAGCTCCAGGACATCATGACCAGCGTTTCTGGGAGGATCCCACCCAACGTGGAGAAGTCCATCAAGAAGGAGATGGCGCAGTATGCCAGCAACATCACCTCGGTGCTCTGCCAGTTCCCCAGCCAGCAGGTGAGCAGCCGCCTTCCTGGAGGGGGAAAATTGCTTTGTGTTGGGGCAGAGAGAGAGAAGGTTCCTTTGAATGACATGGAGGTTAACTGGACCTGAAAGGTGTGTTCGAACAGGGGGTGCTGATGGTGGAAGGTCCTTACCTGTGTCACTGCAAGGCTGTCTCTTTACCTGTGCTGCAGGGTCCGTGCTCCCTGCTCAGCGTGGCTTCAACCAGGCACACTGCTGGGAGCACTTTAATCTTATCAGTGGCCCTGTGGGCATGGTACATGTGCAGTTTGTAGTGCCAGTGGATCCTCAAAATAGGATGATTTTGAGGGAGGATGGGATGATTTGCCAAGGGAGGCCGGGTAGGATTTCTCCACGGTATGATACGCTGCATTGATTTTTGTATCGCTGGCACATCTTGATCTTCCTTTGCTGGAGTCTGCTGGGGCTCTGCTGTGTATCTGCTGGTTGTCCAGCCCACTGAGGCTTTTCCCTGTGCTTTTTCCCCATGTCCCTTTCCCTCTCAGATTGCCAACATCCTGGACAGCCACGCGGCCACGCTGAACCGCAAGTCGGAGCGCGAGGTTTTCTTCATGAACACGCAGAGCATCGTGCAGCTGGTGCAGAGGTGAGCCCTGCCAGGCTGTCCTGCAGAGCAGCAGCCCCCCAGCAGCCCTGGCAGGGGCTGGCTGTGCCTGCAGCTCGCTCAGGGCTGCCTTGGTGCCCCTGCAGGTACCGCAGTGGCATTCGGGGCCACATGAAGGCCGTGGTGATGGATCTGCTCCGGCAGTACCTCAAGGTGGAGACTCAGTTCCAGCACGGTGAGTTCCTGAGTTTGGTCCTGCAAAGTCCCATGTGGGCCCTTTGGGGAAGGTTTGCCCTCATCTTGTGCTGAGGTGAGGTGCACAGGATTGGTTTTGGGGTCTCCCTGGGTTTTGTGGAGGAGATTCTGCCCCAAAGCTCAGCTGAAGCTGAGAGGTGAAATCAATGCCTTGCACTGCTGGATCCAGGCACAAGATGGCAATGGAGCCCTGGCTAATTCAAGGCTCTGGCTCTTACAGGTAGTTCAGATTCCACTCTTTTGTCCTGCTCCATTACCTGCCCTGGCCTAATGGTACTGCAGATTCATTTCCACTTCAATTTGCTGGCAGCAGAGGATGGTGCAAGGCTTTTTGCTGTTATTTCATTTTGGTTGTCATTTGAATGAAAGTCTGAGCTCCCTATTCCTCTCTCAGAATTGCTCACAAAGGAGGCATTTGGTGTCGGAGCTGTTTATTAAGAGTGGGATGTTAGAATTAAAGTTTGCAGTAGGTGATGGTGGGAATGATTCCTTCCCAGATTGATTGTGTGGACCACAGAGAAACACAGAATGGTCTGGCTTGGAAGGGACTTTAAAGCGCATCTCATTCCACCCCTACCATGGGCAGGGACAACTTCCACTGTCCCAGCTGCTCCCAGCCCTGTCCAGCCTGGCCTTGGGCACTGCCAGGGATCCAGGGGCAGCCACAGCTGCTCTGGGCACCTGTGCCAGGGCCTCAGCACCCTCACAGGCAGGATTTTTTTCTAATACCCAACCTAACCCTGCTCCCTGTCAGTGTGAAGCCATTCCCACTTGTCCTGTCACTCCATCCCTTGTAAATAGTCTCTCTCCATTGTCAGCTCCCTTCAAGCCAAGCAGATCCTCAAAAAACACACTTAGAAAAAGACAGACACATCTGGTAACTTGCAATCCTTGCCACGGAGGTGTGAGGGCTGGAAAAGCAATGTGCATTTCTGCTGCAGGTCACTATGACAAGTGTGTCTTCACCCTTCGTGAGGAGAACAAGAGTGACATGAACGCCGTGCTCAACTACATCTTCTCCCACGCCCAGGTCACCAAGAAGAACCTGCTGGTCACCATGCTCATTGTAAGGGCCTGCTGTCTGCTTTCTCTCTGTCTTTCTCTCTCTTTCTCTCTTTCTCTCTCTGTCTTTTTTTCCCTCTTTCTTTTTCCCTCTTTCTTTTTCCCTCTTTCTTTTTCCTCTCTTTTTGTCTTTTATTTTACAACCATATTGTGGTCCGTTACTGCCCAAAATACATCCAAATTAGCCATCCACGAAATAACTCTCCAAAGCAAGAAAAGTGTCATAGTTTCCTAGACCCAAGCTGGGTTTCTCAAATTCTCATTTGCAAGATGTAAGGATGGTGGTGTTCTTTCTTCCTGGCCCTCCTTTTCCCCCTTTTTCCCCCTTTCCCTCTTTGGTGTGTGGTGTGATTGTAAGTAACGCTTGCCTTAAGAATCTCATTATTTGAACACGGAGCCATATTTCCTCTGAGAATTCTGGAGTAGCTTTGAGCTGGGGCTGTTCATTTCTCAAGTAATCACGCTGGCGTGATGGAGAGAGAAAATGGCAGCTGTTCACAGCTCAGGCCTTCAATTTTCTTCAGAGTCCAGTCACTCAAGTGTGTAATTACACGGGGGTGCGGGCGAGGCGTTAGCCCCTGTCAGGGAGCTGGGCTCAGGCTCTGCTGCTGCCTTTGCCAATCAGTGCAGGCACAGCCAGCCCTGCCTTTGGCTTCTTGTTGTCATCCTGAGCGGCCCTTGCTGGAGCAGGACTGGAGCTTTCAGTGTTTGTCACTGGTGTGGCCGTGCCTCGCTGGCTCTGGTGTGTGAGGGGCGTTGGGGAGGCCTCAGAGACCCTCCCTTGTCCCTTGCTCTTGGGGCATTCCTCACACCATCACTGCCTGCTAGTTCTGCTCAAATAAAGGCCAGCTGGAGCCAGAATCACCAGGGAGACCTTGGTGGAGGAGCCACTCCTGGTTATCCAAATCCACAGTGCTGCCTCGCTGGGGCACAGGGATTTCCCTCTGCAGTGGGAGCAGGGGCTCAGGAGGGACACCATGGTCCCCCTTGGCACAGCTGGGTGTCCCTGAGCTTCCAGGCTCCCCTTCAACCAAAAGGCCATCACTCCTCTCCCAGCTCGTGGCTCCAAATGTGCTGTGGTGTGTTTGGTGTGACCAGGGTGACCCCTGTGGTGTTTTTGGGGCCCAGGCTGTTGGTGTGTTTGATGTGATCACAGTGACACCAATTTGGGGTGACCATGGTGGCAACTGTGACCATGGTGACAGTTGTTCTGTGTTTGGTGTGACCCCTGTGGTGTTTTTGGGGCCCAGGCTGTCAGTGTGTTTGATGTGATCACAGTGACACCAATTTGGGGTGACCATGGTGACCCTGTGGTGTTTTTGGGGCCCAGGCTGTTGGTGTGTTTGATGTGATCACAGTGACACCAATTTGGGGTGACCATGGTGACCCTGTGGTGTTTTTGGGGCCCAGGCTGTCGGTGTGTTTGATGTGATCACAGTGACACCAATTTGGGGTGACCATGGTGACCCTGTGGTGTTTTTGGGGCCCAGGCTGTCGGTGTGTTTGATGTGATCACAGTGACACCAATTTGGGGTGACCATGGTGACCCTGTGGTGTTTTTGGGGCCCAGGCTGTCGATGTGTTTGATGTGATCACAGTGACACCAATTTGGGGTGACCATGGTGACCCTGTGGTGTTTTTGGGGCCCAGGCTGTTGGTGTGTTTGATGTGATCACAGTGACACCAATTTGGGGTGACCATGGTGACCCTGTGGTGTTTTCGGGGCCCAGGCTGTCGGTGTGTTTGATGTGATCACAGTGACACCAATTTGGGGTGACCATGGTGACCCTGTGGTGTTTTCGGGGCCCAGGCTGTCGGTGTGTTTGGGCCAGGGCAGCCTGGCTGCCCGTGGGGCTGTTATTGATGGATCCAGGAGCCCGTTATTAACCAGGGACTCTGAGGATGCCTCAGTAATGCTGTTGTGCTGCCATCACTCACCTTTTCTAGCCAGCAGGCACTGCAGGCAGGGTGGGAACGGCTTCATCCTTCATACATCTGTTGAAATGTGGTGTGATTTGTTGTTGTGTGTTCATTTTCTGTGCTTAGCTTATGCACACCCTGGCCTGAGCAGGATGCAGTGGCTGCTGCCATGGCAGGGTCCCCTGTCCTGGGGGATTTCTGCTCCCTGGAGCAACATCAGGAGTTTGTGTTTCAAACCCAGCAGTTCTGTGCTCCTCTGTAGGACTTCTGTATTATTTGGCTTTGCTTTTTAATTCATTTTCCCTGGCAGGTTTGTCAATCCCACCTGCTGCACGGAGGTTTCCCCTTATCCTTTTCTATTCCCTGGCTCTTCAGATGGCCTGTTCTGGTCTGTGGGTGTTCAAGATCTCTTTAAACTTTTAGGCCTCAGCTCTTTCTCATGGCAAATCCCTGTTTCATCTCACATTTCCCTGCTATGATTAATTTATCAAGACAAGCTGTTAAGTGCTGTGTGGAAGAATCACGTTAGAGGCTTCGGGGTGGGAGGGGAGAAGCTCACAAGAAGTGTTGAAGACTGTGGGATTATTCATGGGAATTGAAACTATTTTTGGAAGGAAATCTCTACTGCTGGCATTTTTTTGAATGGATGAATTCAGGGGAGTTTTGGAACAGCATTAACACTGGAAGTTTGTGCTCTTCAGTTTTGTTGTTTTATCCAGCCAGTTTAGGCAGCAAGGAAAGCTTGTGGATTTGCTCAGATCCAGGATTCTCTGGTTAGAACGAATGTTATGGAGCCAGTCCAGTACCGTGGCAGGAAATACAGAACATTATTCATGGGTTTAGTTAGCTTTGCTTAGCCTTGTCAGAGGAGTGACAGATCCTTTTTGTGGTGTTGGCTGAAGCTGCACAAAGCCTGGGTGGTTTGTGGCTGTGGACTTGTGGGGACTTCTGATGTTTGAGGTGTTTTTAGGTGGGTGTCAGGAGGTTCTGTGGTGGTGTATAACTCTGGTCACCCTTCATGGGGAAGGCTTGCTGACCTTTACATGTTCCACAAGGTGCCTGGCTACAGTTTAAGCTCTTTGAATTTTGCATTTTTACCAGAAGGAGAAACTTCTGGTACAAACCTGAAACTGGGTAATGGGAAAAGGTTTCCTGAGTCTCTCTGAGAAGTCAGCATTTCTCATGTGTTTGGGTGCTGCAAATAGGAGAATGGAAGATGGTGCCTGTCCCTTCTTTCACCTTTTATTTATGTGTGTGAAATTGCTGAATGCTGAATATTTGTGTCCTTGTCAGCGCAGAATTGCAGGATAATTCAGGTCGGGACTGCTGGGGATGCTGTGTCCAGCCTGAGTGTGTGTTTGCAGGTTCACACTCCTTTGGGGGGAGCACAGCCGATGTTTCCCCCCTCTCCAAGCACTTCTCCTTGTCTGTGTTGCCAGGACCAGCTGTGTGGCCGTGACCCCACGCTGACAGACGAGCTGATCAATATCCTGACAGAGCTGACCCAGCTCAGCAAGACGACCAACGCCAAGGTGGCGCTGAGGGCGCGGCAGGTGAGGCTCTGCCCAGGTGTGACGGGGTTCGGGGGGTCTGAGGGTGAGGGGAGAGACGAGGATCTGACTCCGTGCTTCAGAAGGCTGGTTTATTCTTTTATGGTATATATTATATTAAAACTGCACTAAAAGAATAGAAGAAAAAGTTTCATCAGAAGGCCAGCTAAGAATAGAATAGAAAAGAATGAAAGAATGAATAACAAAGGTTTGTGGCTCGGACAGAGAGCTGAGCCAGCTGGCTGTGATTGGCCATTAATGAGAAACAACCACGAGAGACCAATCACAGATGCACCTGTTGCATTCCACAGAAGCAGATAATCAATGTTTACATTTTGTTCCTGAGGCCTCTCAGCTTCTCAGGAGGAAAAATCCCAAGGAAAGGATTTTTCATAAAAGTTGTCTGTGACACCCAGGCTGCTCCTGCCTGCAGCTCAGCCTTGGGACACCCACAGCTCCTGGTGCTTGTTTTGGTCACTGTGCACATGGGGACAGTAGGTTCCTGTGAGCAGCACTTGGACAGTGAAGCTAATTAACAGTGATTAACTGTGGTGCATTCCCAATCACTGTCATACTTAAATTCAACACGCGTTCCTTTGTCCCTGCTCCTCCAAAAAAAAGTTTTGTGTGGCTCACGCAGGGGTTAGCTGTGAGTGGCCCATGGTTTGTGTGATGGAGGAGGTGGGAATGTGTGGCCACTGTGGTGTTTGGTGGTTCTGTCATCTGCACACCTGACCAGCCCAGGCTGCCTGGATTGTGCAGAACAGCGTGGCTGGAGCTGGAACTCCTGGTCCCTCAGCTGTGGATCCATGTGTGCAGAGAGCAGGGAGAGCCATTTGCACAAGAACCAGCTGTTCTTTGCAGCTGCTGAGGAATTGCCACAAAGAATTATGCTGCCCTTTTGCAGGACTTCTCCCATCTCGGAGTTGGGCTTTGTCAGTTTTGTTCTAACCTGGAAATAACTGGAAAAACTCTGGATGCTGTAAATTCCTGCAGAACTGATTTGAATGTCACACAGGCACCCAGATATTGTTGTGAGCCTCCTCCTCAGCAGTTCATTGAACCTCCCTGTGTTGCCAGGAGGGGCTGAGAGGTTCCCTGACCCCAGAGTGTGGTCACTGCTCTCACTGCACCCTCCCCATCTCCAGCCTAAAGCAGGAAAGCTCACACTTGGGGGGGTCTCTCCTTTTATTTCAAAGCTTGGCTGTTGAAGATGAGCAGGGTGTTTGAAGCTGCTCAGTGACCTCGTGTTTCCTCCGGGATTGTGCTTGTGTCCTTGAACCTCCCCACAGCAGCTGGGGATGGAGCTGCAGCCCTGGTGCTGCTCTCCCGCTTCGTTTTCCCTGCAGGCTGCTCCCATTTCCTGCCTCTGCCTCCTTCACCTGGGGCATTGGGTGCCTGGCACTGTGGCTGTTCCCTCCCCTGCCCAGGAGCAGAGCCTGGGTGCCCCCAGAGCTGCTGCCCACCGGCTCTGCCTCCCCGTGAGCAGCTGGGCAGCCCTGGCAGCTCTGCCCTGCTCAATGCCATGCTCTGATGGGCCTTGATTGGAGCTGTGCCCTGGGGAATTGCCAGTGACACCAACAGCGGGCGCACAAATGAGCTGGGGAGGGGAGAGGGCACAGGATGCCTCCCCAGGGATGGAGCAGCCTGCTGGCCCTGCGTGTTCGCTTCCCCTGACCCTGCCTGTGTTTCCCCAGGTGCTCATTGCCTCCCACCTGCCCTCCTACGAGCTGCGCCACAACCAGGTGGAGTCCATCTTCCTGTCTGCCATCGACATGTACGGCCACCAGTTCTGCATTGAGAACCTGCAGGTACCCCAGCCCCTCTCCTGGGCTGCCTTCCCACTGACCTTCACACCCCTCTGCTGTCCAGCTTTGCCCTGGGTTTTGTTTTTGTCCCTGTGCCTGGTGCCAGTTGTGCACCTTCCTGCCAGGGCAGAGGTGCTGGTTCCTCCTCTGGGCACACGAGGGGATGGATGGAGCTGTGCCAGGGGAGCTCCAGGCTGGGCATTAGGGAAAGGTTCTTCCCCAGAACAGAGGGAGCTGGCGCTGCCCAGGCTCCCCGGGGAATGGGCACAGCCCCAGAGCTCCAGGGCAGCTGGATGAGCTCCTCTCACATGGTTCTGGTTTCAGTCCTGTGAGGAGCACGGAGCTGGACTCAGTGACCCCTTCCAACTTCAGCTTTTCTGTGGTTTGATATAAAAAAGTCATAATCCTTGATGAACAACAAGAAAAGCTTAGCAGTCAAAACTACCCAAGCTTGATCTCGGGTTTTTCCCTTTCTGCCTGATCCTGGTTGCAAGACACTCTTTTAAACCTCTGCTTAATGTGATCTCCCCTAGAAACTCATTTTGTCTGAGACATCCATCTTTGATGTGCTTCCCAACTTCTTCTACCACAGTAACCAGGTGGTGAGAATGGCAGCTTTGGAGGTGAGTTTATTCCCATTGAAAAAAAAAAAATCATATTTTAATTTTCCTGTGGATTTGGTTTATATTGAGCACTGTCTGCGACTGTTTTGAGCCAACCTGCAAGATCTAAGAGGGCTGTAGGCTGTGTGAGAATGGGTATGCTTAGAATTAATGTTAACAGCATTAACGTTGATAATGAGTAAAATCTCAAATTCAGGTTATGTTTGTGTGAAGACTGAGGTTAGAATTAATGTTAACAGCATTAACACTGATAATTGAGTGAAATTAAAAATCAAGTTAAGTTTGTGTGAAGACTGAGGTGCTTGAAGGCAGAAGGTGAAGCTGCAGCCCGAGCACAGGATCATAACCCTGATGGTTCTGCCTTTCTCAAAGAACAAACTCTGGTTGGAGTTTATCCAGGTGCTCCTTTGCAGGGATGTGTTTGTTCTGGACCCTCCGGGGGTGTCTGATGGCTCTGTGTCCCTGCCAGGTGTACGTGAGGAGAGCCTACATTGCCTACGAGCTGAACAGCGTGCAGCACCGCCAGCTGAAGGACAACACCTGCGTGGTGGAGTTCCAGTTCATGCTGCCCACCTCCCACCCCAACAGGTCAGACTGCCCCGGCAGGGGGCTTTGGGGAAAGGGGCTTCATTTCACTGGGGTGGTTTTCATGAGTTTTCTGGTTTTTAGCTGCAGCTTGGGTTGGATGTGGTCTCTGGAATGGCAGTTCTGGCTGAATCCAGAGCCTTCCAAAAGGTGCAGTTCCCGACAGAATGATCAATTAATCGGAATTTTAATACAGAGCAGTCAAACAGTCCCTGTCCCCCTCCTGCCAGCCCTTTCTGACTGCTTGTGTGGCTCTGCTCCTTCCTGCCTTGGCTGCATAGGGTGACATCTTCTGTAGCACAGGATTCTTTGATGGAGCAGACCAAGATCAGAGTTTTATACAAAATAAAACTCTGATTTATGTGGGGTTGGCACACTTTGATTTTCAGTTTTGCATTCCTTGTGACTACCACCAAAAACAACCAAAAGCAACCAAAAACAACCAAAAGCAACCAAAAGCGTGATGGTTTGGGCTACATAACAATGATGGATAGGGGCACTTACCTTGCTGCCACCTCCCGGAGGGGAGAGTGGCATCTCCAGTTCAAAAAAGCAAACCTGATTATCAGAACTTGCAGCACCATTGGATTGGAGTGGTTTGGCTTGGAAGGACCTTACAGCTCATGTTATTCCAAGGGCAGCTGGCCCTGGAGCAGGTTGTTCTGGCTGTCTGTGGCTCTGCCCATCCCAGCGTTCTCCAGGAGGGTTGGAGCTGTCCCTGGAGCAGGTTGTTCTGGCTGTCTCTGGGCTCAGCCCATCCCAGCTTTCCCCAGGAGGGTTGGAGCTGCACTGGAGCAGGTTGTTCTGGCTGTCTGTGGCTCTGCCCATCCCAGCTTTCCCCAGGAGGGTTGGAGCTGTCCCTGGAGCAGGTTATTGTGGTGTCTGTGGCTCTGCCCATCCCAGCGTTCTCCAGGAGGGTTGGAGCTGCACTGGAGCAGGTTGTTCTGGCTGTCTCTGGGCTCAGCCCATCCCCTCTTTCCCCCGAGGGTGGGAGCTGTCTGTGCTGTCCCTGCTGGCTCCCAGGTCGCAGTGAGTCCCCGCAGCCACCGGGTGCCACTGTTGGTCCGTGCCGGGCCCCTCCTGCCTCCTTTGTTCCCCACATCTCTGCCCTGCTCTGGTTTTTGGTGGGCTCTGGTCTCGTTGCTTTGGAACCCATCAGGAGTTGTTAGGGAATGGTTTTCATGCTCTGCTCTGCTGGGGATCAATGGCTGTCCCCAGGCAGCCCCAGCCTCTCCTGCTGCCAGTGGGACATGTGCTGGGCTCATCTGTGTCCCTGCATTTCTGGAATGTTTGTACATAATTGCAGGCTATTCTTAGTGCCCCTTTATCATGCTCTTTTTCTCCCCTTCCATTTCTCTCTGCTGGCCTCCGTTGCCTTTGCTGCTCTGGGCACAGCCTGGATCAGACAGGGCAGCTGGCAGAGGGGAGATGTTCCTTCCCTCCTCCAGGAGCAGCTCCTTGGCCTGAAATCTCCTCTGCCCTTACTCTGGCTTGGCTGGGGCAGGTTCTGAGCTCAGCTCAGGCTCTGCGAGGTGGAGAAGGCTCCATGCATGGTCCTTGTGCAGGGGAGGCAGGCTCAGGGGCAGGATCAGCTCCTCTCCAGCTGCCAGGGATGAATTTGGCCCCTGGGCAGCTCCTTGCCCTCCTCTGGGGTGGCTGCAGGTGCCCAGGGGCTGATGGTGGCACAGGGGCTCTGAAGCCACACCTGCTGTTAAACCCAGGACAAGGAAATCTCAAAACCCTGCTTAAATCTTGTTTGTTGTTCTTGACCATGGTCTGTGCTCCTCATGTGCTTCTCTGTGTCTTTTGTAGCACAGATCCTTAGGCTGAAAAGGCAAAAATGCATCCCAAGGGCAAACCTCAGAGGCAGAATATCCCAGAGTGTCCCTGGAGGCTCTGCAGGGCTGGGGACCCAGAGCAGGTGTAGGGAGCCCTCAGGAGAGCATTCCCTCGGGGAGCTGCTGTTCTATGATGCCACACGTTTTTCAGATATTTGTGATCCCTTTGTGTCAGATATCTGTGAAGCTTTGAGAGCCCCCAAGTTTTACTGAGGCAAACATCCACATAGAGAAAACAGCAATGGTTTCAATTTCTAATTAGGTGTTTAAATTCGTATTTAAATTCTTCATTATTGGTATTTAACCCTGCTCTGCCTTTCCTTAATTGTGGCAGAAGCAATCCCAGTGACTCCCTGTGAGCTGGCTGATCACAGCTCAGGCTTTGTGCTTGTGGCCATGGCAGGATTGCCATCAGCTGCCCACAGGGAGGCAGAGAGGACAGAAAAGCTCTTAATGTGACAAAGTCACAGAGTGCAGCCTGCTCCTGGTGGGTGCTGTGGGCAGAATCTGATTGGGGAATTATTTGTTTAAATTAACACCAGACATCCTCATGCAGGAACAGCAAGGGGAAGTCACAGGGAGGAGAAGAGCTTTTAATGGGAGCCCCAGAGGGCTCTGTGGGTCCAATATCCCAAAAGCCAGGTTGAATATCCCAAAAACCAGGTTAAATATCCCAGAAGCCAGGTTGAATATCCCAAAAGCCGAGTGAGATATCCCAGAAGCCAGGTGAAATATACCAGAAACCAGGTGAAATATCCCAAAAGCCAGGTTGAATATCCCAAAATTCAGGTTAGATATCCCAAAATTCAGGTGAAATATCCCTCATCCCAAACAGGGCATTTTTAAGAACCCCACACTCACATCTAGAGCAGTGTGCAGAGATTTTTTTCCCTGCTGTCATTCTACACTGCTCTACTCCCAAAATGTGAATTTCTGACCCAGTGACAGCATTTTCTGTGGGCTGTTTGCTGGAGCAGCCTCTGGCACCAATCTTTGGATGCCAGGCGTGACCCAGCCGTGGGCTCTGACCCCACCTGGAGCCCCAGAGGGGCACTCGGGGGGTGCCAGGGTCCCCTCCTGGTTGTGAGGGTGGTTTTTGGGGAAAGGAGGAATGGAGGATGGTGCCAGGACACCTGGAGATCCCTGCAGCCCCGAGCTGGGTTTGGTGTTAATGGGGCAGCAGTGATGTGCTGCTGTTCCCTGGCCTTGCCGGCCTCAGGAAGGGCAGAATCCTCCAGCAGAGCAGGGAAGGGGCTGTGCAAGGGGCAGCAGAGTGAATGGAACCAGGATAATTTTATGCAAATTGGACTCGTGCAGCAGATTCAGCTCGGCTGAGTCGCAGAGGGAGCGGAAGAATGAGGGAAGGAAGAGGGAGAGGGAAAAGCCAATCAAAATGTATGGTTGGAGGCATGTTTCACTGCCTTCTGCTGAGATCTGCTGCAGAAATGAGGAAACATAAGAGGAACGGCCCTGGCCAGAGCCTGTGGAATTGCTCTTTCTGCTGTGGCACCGCTGTTAATGACTAAAGTGGGGTATTGAGCCAGCCTGGGCTGGTTCTGCTTTGCTGCCTCATTTCTGAGCTGTGCCCTGTGCTTTGCCCACAGCTGAGCCCTGCGTGGCCATGGGGCAGCTCCCAGAAAAAGGGAAATAAAGGAGGAGGGGGCACAGGGAGCTGAATTCAGGGGTGCAGGAGCAGTGGGGCCAATGGGGCTGGAGATCAGAGCCAGGACAGGAGCATTTCCAGCCCATCCTGGGATCAGAGCAGGCTCTGCAGGACAGGCTGTGAGCCTGGTGCGGCTGGGGGCTCTGGGGGGGCCCTGGCACACAACCAGGGCATGGAAAGGACCTTGAAGATCTTTTATTCCACCTTCCCCTGTGCCAGGAGGTGTCGCAGACATCTTCTCATGAAAAATCCTTTCTTTAGGATTTGTCCTCCTGAGAAGCTGAGAGGCCTCAGGAACAAAATGCAAACATTGATTATCTGCTGCTGTGGAATGCAACAGGTGCATCTGGGATTGGTCTCGTGTGGTTGTTTCTAATTAATGGCCAATCACAGTCAGCTGGCTCAGACAGAGAGTCCAAGACACTTTGTTATCATTCTATTCTATTCTATTCTATTCTATTCTATTCTATTCTATTCTATTCTATTCTATTCTATTCTATTCTATTCTATTCTATTCTATTCTGTCCTGTCCTGTCCTATCCTATCCTATCCTATCCTTAGCTGTCCTTCTGATGAAACCTTTCCTTCTATTCTTTTAGTATAGTTTTAATGTAATATATACCACAAAATAGTAAATCAGCCCTCTGAAGCACGGAGTCAGATCCTGTCTCTTCCCTCATCCTCAGACCCCTGTGAACACGGTCACAAGGGTGCTCCAGGCCCCATCCAAGGTGGACAATTCCAGGGATCCAGGGGCAGCCACAGCTGATTTGGGCACCTCACACCCTCACAAGGAGGAATTTCTCCTGATCCCTCTTTGAAGCTGCTCCCTCTCAGTTTCCGCCCATCCTCCCTGTGCTGTTTCACTGCTGTGGAGAGGCAGGAGAGGCTCCCAGGGCTCCAGGTGCCCCTCTCGAGGCTGAGCTGAACATTTGTTGTGCTGTTTTCTGTCCCTCTCTTTGCTGAAAGCCTTCCAGGGACGGCCGCAGGAGGGTTCCTGCTGGGGTAGGAACTGCCAGTCCTCTCTCCGTGCTATTTTTTCCCACTCAAGTGGATCACATGCAGCTCTGCCACTCCTTGCCAAGCTCAAAAAATAGTCCCAACCCCCTGAGGGCTGGAGGCCAGCTCTGTCCTGACACAGGCTCTGCAGCACAGGGTCTGTCCCCACCATCCCCCAAATTAAACACTTAATATTTAAATACTACTTACTGCTGCTTAATTTAAACAATTTCAATTTAAATACTACTACTAATATAAATATTGTAGCAATAAATACTAATAAATATTGTAATAATAAAGATATTAAATAAATATTATAATAAATATATTAAATATCCCAATAAGAAATAAAAATTATAAATATTATAATAATAAATAGATATTATAATAATTAATATGAATAACGATTATAACAATAAATATATTAAATAAATATAATAATAAATATTGTTATAATGAATACTAATAAATATACTAATATATACTAATAAATACTAATACTAATATAAGTGCTAATTTAAATGCCACTTAATAAATACTTAATACTTAAATACTGCTCTGTGGTACTTATAACAGCTATGGTTTTATGTATTTTTCCCCATATGGTTTAAGTCTATGGGAATTTTTTGTTTCTCAATAATGCACCCAGCACATCCCCTTGCAGTGGAGATGACTCTGCTGTCACCAAACCAGTCTGGGAAAGTTTTCCTCAAATTAGCATTCAGGTTGTTGTTTGGAGCCTTCAGGTTGTTCTTTTTAGCCTTCAGGTTGTTCTTTTACCCTCCAGGTTGTTCTTTTGAGCCTCCAGGTTGTTCTTTTAGCCTCCAGGTTATTGTTTTCAGCCTCCAGGTTGTTCTGTTTGGCCCTGAGTGCTGAGCATCCCCAGTGTTCCATGGTGCTCTGTGTCTCTTTGTCCCTGCCTGGTGGGAGCTGTGCGTGGGCTGCTCTCAGCCTGCAGCTTTGGCACTGAGCATTGGCTGCTTCTCCTGAACCTGTTGCAGTTTCCCTGTGTGAGATGCTGGTTTGTTTTTCTCTTTGTTTTTTTTGCATCTCTGCTGTTTGCTGCTCTGTCAGGGAGTGCAGGCCCTCGCTCTGGGCTTGGAGGGCACCGTGGAAGGTGCACAGGGCTGAGGGTCCCTGGCACATCCCAGGTGTTCTCCTGGGCAATTGCATTGTTTGCATGGCCTGGCTGTGCCCTGTGGGGCAGGGAGGCCCTGGCAGCTCCCCCTGATTTGGGGCAGCCCCTTGGGAAGGTGTTGCTGGTTGTTTGATGATGGTTCTGTGTGATGGCTCTCACTAACCAGTCTGATTAACTGTGCTTGTTTGATTTCAGAGGGAACATCCCCACCCTGAACAGGTACAGTACCCACCATCTTCTCAAATTCCAAATCCACACTAGAAAGGAGCCTAACCCTGAGTGTTTGAGCATGTTTTGTTGTAGTGCCCTTCTCTTTACTTGGGAAACTCTCAGCCATAACTCTTATTTACCTCCCCTTTTCCTCTCCCTTTGTCTAAAACATGTTTTCAGCTTTCCTTTAACAAAAACCCAAAACTTTGCATGCAGCAATCTCTGGAATTAAATCTGCTGTGTTTCTCAGCTCATCTGCAGTGTGTTACACAGCAGAATGCTGTCCTAGGGTCTTTTTTGGCACTGAATTCCCAGGTTTGGGTCCCAGGGTGCCACAGTGACCCCAGGCAGCTCCTCCCAGCCCTCCCTGGTTTCTTGTGCATGGCTTGGGATTTGTCAGGGCTCTTTCACCCCCCTCACACCCCAGATGAATCTACATCTCAAACAGCTGACAGCATGTTTTGTTGTGCTTTGGACACTAATTTTTCCTCCTGTGTCTCAGTTGAGAAGTATTTCTTGTTTTAAATAATAGATGAAAAATGTCTGCTGTCTCTTTGTTCAGTTCCTGTTCTGTGATAGTTTTTGTGTGAGTTGTAAGAATGTACACCAAGGCATGTCCTGAAAAATTCCCCTCTTTCAAAACCTGAATCCCTATTATTTATTGCTGCTTACAAGCCTATTTAGGGAAAAATAGTAAAAATGGGCCTGGAAGTCTCACGGCTCTTAATCAGAGATAAATTGCAGAAACAGAGAGTGACTTTAGGCATGGAGGGCCATTAATCACCCTGCTGATAGTTCAGGCTTGTTGGCACTGTGCTCAGGGCTGGATCTCAGCGGGTTTGGTGTGTGGCAAGGAGGAGATCCCAGCAAGGCTGGGGTGGCTCAGCCAGGTCCTGGTTTCTCACACAGTGAGCAGCCCCTGCACTTCACAGCTCTGAGGCTCCAGAATCCATTCCCTGCCTTTCTTCCCCATCTCCTCCAGTTTTGGCAGCAAAATTAACGTGTCCCCAAGCCCAGGGAGAGCAGGTGAGGTCCCTGGGTCTCTTCAGAAGTGTCAGCACCTTGCAGGCAGCTCTGGAAGGGAGTCTGAATTAATTCTGTAGTACAGCTCAGAAATTGGTGATAATTACTGCAGAGGAGGCAGAGCCCAGCTGTGGTCACCAGAGGAAAGTCCAATCTCATTGTGGGAGAAGCTTCTTCTGCCAGTGTTGGCCATGGCACTGTGAATCTTTTAAAAAAAACCACAAAAATCACAGAATTGTTGAGGTTGGAAAATACCTTCATGACCATGGAGTCCAAGCTGTGCCTGATGCCCACCTTGTCACCCAGCCCAGAGCACTGAGTGCCACATCCAGCTGTTTGTTGAACAGAAGGGGTGGGAATGAGAGTGCAAGACTCAGTAAAGAACTTTGGACAAGTCACTGTACCGTGCTGCATTTGAGCAGTGAAAATTATAGTAGGATCAGAAAAATCATGGAATCAATAAGTTAATACAGCCTTGGTAAAAATGTACTGAATCCTTCAAGTGTCAAATCTCAGAATTGCTGCTGCTTGAGTCATGTTCCACCTGTAAAGCAAAACATAAAGACAGGAGGAAAGTTGAGTCAGAATTCTCCTGTCATCTCGAGAAATAGCTGTTTTAAGGGGTTATAGCGTTATTTGTGAACTCTGGGTGTTCCTGTCATTGAGACAGCATCCAGGGAGGGTGGCACCAGAGCCATGGCAGGGCTGTGGACAGGCTGAACAATCCAGCAGAGATTGCCCATCCAGGGAGGGTGGCACCAGAGCCATGGCAGGGCTGTGGACAGGCTGAACAATCCAGCAGAGATTGCCCATCCAGGGAGGGGTGGCACCAGAGCCATGGCAGGGCTCTGGGCAGGCTGAGCAGCCCAGCAGGGATTGCCCAGCTGTTGCAGGCATCTTTTATGAAAAATCCTTTCCTTAGGATTTTTCCTCATGAGAAGCTGAGAGGCCTCAGGAACAAGATGTAAACAATGGTTATCTGCTGCTGTGGAATGCAACAAGTAGATCTTTGATTGGCCCATGTTGGTTGTTTCTGATTAATGGCCAATCACAGCCCAGCTGGCTCGGACACAGAGCCCGAGCCACAAACCTTTGTTATCATTCCTTCCTATTCTATTCTAAACTAACCTTCTGAAGAAACCCTTTCTTCTGTTCTTTTAGTATAGTTTTAATATAACATATATCATAAAATAATAAATCAAGCCTTCTGAAACACGGAGTCAGATGCTCATCTCTTCCCTCATCCTCAGACCCCTGTGAACACCACCACACAGCCCAGCCACGCTGCAGAGCGCTGCCCAAACCTGCTGCCGTGCTGTCCCCTGCCCCTGCTGACTGTGCCCTTGCTGCCTTGCTCCTTAGGATGTCCTTCTCCTCCAACCTCAACCACTATGGGATGGCTCACGTGGCCAGCGTCAGCGACGTGCTGCTGGACAACTCCTTCACGCCGCCGTGCCAGCGCATGGGCGGCATGGTCTCCTTCCGCACCTTCGAGGACTTCGTCAGGTGGGTGCCGCCCTGGGCCTGCTCCTGTGCCCACCGCTGCACCTGGGCCCTGGCAGAGCTGGGGAGAGGCTTTGCCAGGCCTACAGTCAGGTTTAGGTGGTCCTTGACGCCAGCAGGGGCTATTTACGGATCACTAACAGGACAGGACTGCTGTGGAACTGCCTTGAGCTGTTTTATGTTCAGCATCAGTCTCATTACATGGTTGTGACAATGGGAAGATGCCAGCAGCTCACATCCCAGGCAGCAGACACAGAACTCAATGTTACTACTCATTTATAAGTTTCTTGACCAATCACACAAAGCAAAACCACATTGACAGTATTTATATCTGTATAGTATATATACTATATTGACAGTAGTTCTGTCCAACCACTATAAGCACACGTACCATGGTTAAAACAATGCTTGCTTGTTTCAAATACAACACCTGTTTGTAAACCTTAAAACACAATGCACAGAGCTCCATTATTAAGCTTTAACCTTCCTAATATCTTGCTAGAAAAACTTTCCTGTAGCTTAGAGAGCTATTTTAGACAAGTTTTAATACACAGACCATTGTTCTATTTGTCTTTGCCTTTCTACAGTTTAAATAATTTTTTGCTGACCTATCTCATGGCTGCTGCTTAGCTCCAATCACAGTTCTACTGTATCTGAGGCCTGCCTTTTGCAGCTCCCCCAAACCCCTCTGATTCTGTAGATTCCCACAGTCCTGGGGGTGTTTCCCTGCTTGGATCCCTGCGTGTGGCCCAGGCTGCAGGAGGAGCAGTTTGCACACTGAGGGATCAGCACCCCGGGTTCTGCTGGTTGGGAACGTGCTGGTGCCTCCTGATGCTCTGTGGGTGTGGGAGGGGGGCAGTTCTTTGTGTTTCCAACCTTTTGGGACAGAAAGGTTGGAAACACAGCAGAGCCCTCAGCCCGCACCCAGGAAGCTCAGACCAGGGCTGGCCAGTGCAGACCCTGGTTTGAGGAATTGCCTCCTGATCTTTGAGCCCAGCAGGGAGGGAGCCCTGTCCTGGCAGGGCTGGAGGGGCCAGTGCAGGGTGCTGTGTGTGCTGCAGTGCTGTGGTGCTCACTGCTCCTTGCTCTGTGTCCCAGGATCTTTGATGAAGTCATGGGATGCTTCTGCGACTCTCCCCCGCAGAGCCCCACGTTCCCCGAGGCCGGCCACGCTTCCCTCTATGATGAGGACAAGGTAGGGGTTTGTTTGTTTTTCTGGAAGGTTCTCTGGGGCTGGATGCTCCTCCCTGGCTGAGTGCTGGCAGCAGGAGTTGGGAGCTGTGTGTATTTATGGCTGTGATTTGCCTGCCTGTTCCACAGCAGGTGACTCGGCGTGGGCGGCCGCTCCCAGCTCTGCTCTGCAGCTCAGCTCTTGCTCCCCATGTAAATTTAGTTTATGGCTTTTAGCATCAGCACAATTCCTGGGTCCACAGCACCATAACAGAGTTTAAACCCACCATTAAGTCTCCAGACCCTCTCTGTGCACCAGAATGTTGAACTGCATCTTCAGCTGTCTTTGTCCTCCGTCTGACTTGCTGTGTTTCCTGTCTTACACCCTTCCCAATCCCCTTAAATCCTGACTCTTCCCTCTGCTCTGCCTCTTGGAACTGTTTTTGGGAGGAAGAGCTGAGTGGAGCCGCTCAGTTTGTGCAGAGATGTGGAGAACAGGTGCAGAGGAGGCAGGTGGTCCCTAATCCATAGGGATGGAAGTCCAGTTTCCCCTAAGACACAGGAGCTGCTCCACAAGAGTGGGAAGCTCTGCTGGAACACAGCCTGTGTCCAGAACAGGGCTTTGTTTTCCTCTGCTCCATTGATCCTGATGTGTGGAAGCACTGTAGCCTTTTCCAGAACATTACTGTCAACCTTAATGTCCTCAGATCCCTCTCTCTGCATCCCCCTCACCTCACCGAGGTAATTTCCTGTCCAGTCTCAGTTTTTCCCAGTTAATCACAGGCTCCTGGAGGCTGAATTTGTAATTCCTTGGAGCTCAAGTGGAATTGATGTTTCCACATCATTTCATGTTGTTGTAGGTATGGAAACTCACACTGTTTTGCCCCTACGCTTTAATTAATTTAATTACTTTCCTTGATGCCAAAGCCCTCTACTGTCCTTGTGTTGCATGTGGCAAAGAGAGGCCCTGACCCTGTGCCCTGTCTCATCCTTGAATTCCCCCAAGGAGGCTCCTGTTTGGTGTTTGTGGACATTGACCTATGTGAAATTGCAGATTTCTGAGGCTGTTTGGCCAAGGATTTCCCTCCGAGAGTTCCCTGGTGCTCCTCTGGGGTCCTTTCCCTCCGAGCACCTCTGTTGCTGGGTTTAGGGAGCCTGTTCTGGGGTGCTCACTGTTAATTCCTGCTCCATGGGGATCCAGGAGGTGCTCACTGTTAATTCCTACCCCATGAGGACCTTCCCCTTCCCCTGTCCCTGCAGAGTGCCCGGGAGGAGCCCATCCACATCCTCAACGTGGCCATCAAAACCGACGGCGACGTGGACGACGACGGCCTGGCTGCCATGTTCAGGGAGTTCACCCAGAGCAAGGTGAGCCCCTCTGCCCCTCTGGGGTCTGCAGGACAGCTTGGGGAAACTCTGTCTCTGTGCTCCCTGGGTTTGGGGTGGTTTGGTTTGGTTTCAAAGCACACACGCTGCAGTCACATCCTCAATTTATCCCCTCTGGAGCCTTCCCATTGCTTTGGGTGCAGCTGCACCTTCCTGAGGGCACCAGGTCATTGTTGCTCCTTCTAATCTGTCAGGTCAGGACTTCTTCCCTTTAATTTTTGATGGGATCAAAGATTTGGAAGGTTTTAAACACATCAGGCCAATCTTCAGTAACAGTTGTTGGAGGAGCAACAGAACCATGTAAAATAGCATTAAAATGTCCTGTATTTGTGTGTTACCATAGTCCTAATGCAATTAAAGTTTATTGCCCTTGTTAGGGTGCTGGAGCAGCCACCTTACACAACATTCCTGGCATGAGGAGGAATTCTTTGGCATGTTTTGTTGCTCCTTTCTTAGTGTGGGATGCACCTCAGAGTCCCAAATGTCAGTTGTGGGACACCTGGGTTGGGAACAGCCTCCTTGTGTCCACCCTGGGCTCTGCCTGCACCTGCTTTTGTGGGGTGGGAAGAGCTCCAGTGGTTTGTGGGGCTGAAAATCCCACCAGGAGCTGGGATCCTGGAGCTGTGCTGGTTTGGGAAAGCTCATTGTATTTCCAGCTTCCCATTGTGGAATATGGGAACACACCCTGCGGAAATCAGGGGTTCCAAAATGAGACTGGCACCCACATGGCTTCAGCAGCCTCCTGTCTCTTTAAACAAGGAAAACAATCAAATTCAAGAATTAAAACTAGTTCTGCTTTTCATCTGCTTGATCATGCTCCAGGCGTTTTACGGGAGGGGATAAAAGGAAAGAAATAAAATATATTACAAAAAAAAAAAAAAATCCAAAACCACATTAAACTATCAAATAGGTTGATCCAAATTGTCCAAATAATCTTCCAGTCCCAGCATGTTGTGTGTGGTTTTTTTAATAGAAATTAGGATCATATACTTGTAAATGACTTGTGGAGGAGATTGAGGCAGTCAGTGGAAATGGAGTTTCTCCAGGTGCTGATGGCTAATCGCTCTCTAATAGCTGTGGCCTTGCTGGGAGACCCACATTATTACCATGTAATCAGAATCCTGTTGCTCTGCTGTTATTGTCTGCCACTTGTGGAATTTTAAAAGCAATAACAATTTTTGCTTTTTAAATCATGGCATTATTAAAGTTATTTTCTTCCTCTTGCCATGAATATAGTCACTGCTGCTCATTTCCAAAGGGTTTAACCTTAGTAAAACATCACAGTCTGTGCAGAGAGGGGCTGGTTTGCTCCTGCTTGAGCTGAGCTGTTGTTCCTTCTTTTAAATTGGAAGAGGGAGGAGGAAGGAGAAAAGTTTGAAAAAGTTCAAAAGGCAATCCAGGATATTTCCTGCACTGTTCCAAAGGCAATCCAGGATATTTCCTGTACAATTCAAAAGGCAATCCAGGATATTTCCTGTACAATTCAAAGGCAATGCAGGATATTTCCTGTACAATTCAAAGGCAATGCAGGATATTTCCTGCACAATTCAAAAGGCAATGCAGGATATTTCCTGTACAATTCAAAAGGCAATGCAGGATATTTCCTGCATGGTTCAAAAGGCAATCCCGGATATTTCCTGCACTGTTCCAAAGGCAATGCAGGATATTTCCTGCACATTCAAAAGGCAATGCAGGATATTTCCTGCACCGTTCCAAAGGCAATCCAGGATATTTCCTGTACATTCAAAAGGCAATGCAGGATATTTCCTGCACTGTTCAAAAGGCAATGCAGGATATTTCCTGCACATTCAAAAGGCAATGCAGGATATTTCCTGCACATTCAAAAGGCAATCTAGGATATTTCCTGTACAATTCAAAGGCAATGCAGGATATTTCCTGTACAATTCAAAAGGCAATCCAGGATGTTTCCTGTACAATTCAAAGGCAATGCAGGATATTTCCTGTACATTCAAAAGGCAATGCAGGATATTTCCTGCACTGTTCAAAAGGCAATCCAGGATATTTCCTGTACAATTCAAAAGGCAATGCAGGATATTTCCTGTACAGTTCCAAAGGCAATCCAGGATATTTCCTGCACATTCAAAAGGCAATGCAGGATATTTCCTGCACATTCAAAAGGCAATGCAGGATATTTCCTGTACAGTTCCAAAGGCAATGCAGGATATTTCCTGCACTGTTCCAAAGGCAATGCAGGATATTTCCTGCACATTCAAAAGGCAATGCAGGATATTTCCTGCACTGTTCCAAAGGCAATGCAGGATATTTCCTGTACAATTCAAAAGGCAATGCAGGATATTTCCTGCACTGTTCCAAAGGCAATGCAGGATATTTCCTGCACATTCAAAAGGCAATGCAGGATATTTCCTGCACGGTTTGGGGTGGCTCTGCTGCGTTCCTGCCCAGCCAGGCTCAGCCTGAGCTCACTGCTCTGTGGTTCAGCCCCTTCCCTGCTCAGGGGAAGGGATTTGGGTGTTTGTGCTGCCAAAGGAGCAGCAGGTGGGAAATCCTCCCTCCAGGGGAGCAGGGGCTCCGAAGGATCTGCAGAGATTTTCCACTGCACAGAGGGTTCCAGCCTGCTTTAATTGTCCTTTTTCTGCACTCCAGTCACTGTTTGCACCCTTGTTTTTGCAGAAATCAGTCCTGATTGAGCATGGCATTCGGAGGCTGACGTTCCTTGTGGCACAAAAGGTATTCCCACATCTCTCCTCATGCTCACACCTCCCTGCTTTCTAGCTCGTTGTGCCATTGGCATCTGACATGGTTTTCCCCCAAATTTAATGCTGTATTTATTGTATTTAGTTCTCTCCTCACTGTTTTTATCCTCTAAAACTCGAGACGGTTTTCATGAATTCGCTTAAGAGAATTAATTTACAATTGTACGCAATCTTGACGCCTCTTGTATTCTTGAATTAATTAATTTTTGATTTTAATCCTAATTGCTAGCTGTCTTCTGCTTTGTTTTTTTTTTTTTTTTCTTCCTATGTGTGTATGTTTCGTTTGTAAGGACTTCAGGAAACAGGTCAACTATGAGGTGGACCAGAGATTCCATGTAAGTAAAAAGGGCCTGGAGCAGGGTGGCATTGCTGCTGCGAGGCCAGGGGACACCCAGGGGGCTCAGGCCTTCTCATTTGGACCTCAGGCCTTCTCATTTGGACCTCAGGCAGGCATTTCGTGCCCACAAAGTGAAGAGTTGAAGTGTTTATGTATTGAAGTATTTATAGTATTTATTTGGAAATCTGGCTGCAAACCCAGGCTGTGCCCGTGGCATTGAGAGTGTCCCTGGTTCCCTGGCTGAGCTCAGGGAGCCACTCTGACAGAGATTTCCTTGTGTTCCAGTGGTTCTTGTGTTCCCTTTCTGTTCCAAAGTGCAATTATCAGTGAAACCTTTGTATTTCCTATGTAGTGTGGTGATTCCTTTTGGCCTCTTACTGATTTTAAAACAACTTCGGTCACTGGAGGGACCTGTTAAATTTTGCAGAGTGGTTTTGTGGTGTGGGAAATGTTTGGTGCTCTTACTGCTGGGAATTCCTTCTTTCCCCAGGGCCTGGGCATCAGTGGGGTCTGGTTTAGGTGGCAATGTCAGTCATAAACCAGATTTTTGTCTCTTGGGCATCAGTGAGATCTGGTTTAGGTGGCAATGTCAGGCATAAACCAGATTTTTATCTCTTGGGTCTCTACTTTTCAATTCTGGAAGTTGTCAGGGGCCTTTGAAGTGCAAGAAACTCCCCCTGTGCTCAACGCAGCTGGTCTGGGAAGGTTTGTGAAGGGAAAACTGGTTTACAAATCAGCAGAAATAGTGCTTCAACCTGTCATCACATGGGAATTGCTGCTCACAGCACAGGTACAGAGGTGTCAGTCAACAGCTTAGGAAACTGGATTTTGTGGAGAGTCTTTTGGGACATTTAGCAGGAAAATCTGGGCTTTAGGTGTGAAAAAGGAAGTTTTGGAGAACGGAATGGGCGCTGAAAAATGGGAATTGCTGAGTCAGTGCTGTGGGACGTGCCAGAGGTCAGAAAGGAGGCACAGAATAGAGAGAACCATCCCAAGCTCTGCCTGCGCCCTCAATGTGGGCTCACCTGGCTGCAGAGCTTGTGGAGCTGCTCTGTCACTCTGTCCTTGCTGTCTGCTGGCCCAGCCCCTTCATTACTGGACCAACCATTAACTTAGCCAGGCCTGGGCTCGGGTTTGTTTTTTGTTTTAATTACAGTCTATATAATTAGTTCCCAGCATGTCGAGGTAATAGAGAGTTGCTCCAGCAAGCTTCCAATTTCCTCATCTCATTAGGTTTTTAACGTGATTATTAGTATAATAATCAACTCTGATGATTTCTGGTGCAGCTCCTCGCGTTCTGCAGTTTGCAGGGTGTCTTGATTGGCTAATTTAGGCAAATTATTTTGATTGTCTTGATGATGGTTGGTTGATTAGAACACAGCAGGGGTATAATTCTTCTGCCTAGGAAATGGAGCACTCTTTTGGATTTTGGTAGCAGGGCACTGAGGATTTTTGTGTGTGTGCACATCTAATTATGATATTTGCCCAGCACACCAGTGAGGTGCCCTGGAAGCAATTCCATTAGTGGTGGAATGAGCCTGGAGATGGTGGGAGAAGCTGGCAGCATGCAGGGGAGGACAGGTAGGAGGGATGGGGAGAAGCCAGGAAACATGGAAGAGGTTTTCTCTTAGATGAAACTCACAGGCAGTTGATGGATTGCGTGAGCCTGGATTTTTAGGCAGCATTTCTTGTACCACTGCTTATTTTGGAAGGGTTTCCAGGCAAACTCAAGTTTTGCTCAACTGAGAGCCGTCAGGTGAGGTCTGGGGGCTGTTTCACCTGGGAGGGAATGAAGATGACTGACTGGAACAATCCTTTTAGCCTTAAAATCTGTGCTAAAATCAGTGGTGGCTGGTGCAGTGTCACTGCTTGTCGCACTCCCTCCAGCTGGGGCTGTTCATCTTTCATGGATAACGGAATGGGAGCCAGAGATTCAGAGGCTCCAGGTGAGATTCCTGGTTTTTGCTTAGTGAGCCAGTCCTGGTGGGCTGTGTGTGTGTCCCTCAGGTCACCTTGAGCAGCAGAGCTCCCACGTGGGGCGAGCACTGACCAAAGCCCTGCCCAGTAAAACTCCAGTTCCAGAGGAGGGGATGGATCTGCCTGGGTGGAGCTGGAGGCACTGGATGCTGTCCAGGCTTCCTCTCTTCATCTCAGATTTCTACAATATTTCAAAAAACTCTCAAGGCTCTGCCAGGGTTTTACCTATGCAACAGAAAACCAGAGAAACTGAGTGGTAGATGGGGGATTTCTGTAATGTTTTTGCTGCTTCATACAGGAGAACAAAGTGATTTGATTGCAAGTCCCAGTTTTCCTTGGGAAGAGAGTATTTCTGGCAGTAATGGTATGGAGAGAGTTGTAGAATAAGATCATTGTTGTGTGTACGTCTGCGTCCATAACAGAGTGTTCCTATCACTCCAGACGTTTCCACTGGAATTTTAATCATAACAAATCTAGAAAAAGTTTCCCTCTACTGTCTGGACACTTTTGTTATCTGTTAATAATTGACAATAATAATCTAAAGCCAATCAAGCAGCCTCTTCTGCATTAGTGAGGGCAGATTTGAGCTGCCTCTGCTGTCCTGAAGGTGATTTGGTTTTCCACCCCCTTTGTGATGTTGGGGAGGTAGCTGGGAACAGCTTGTGTCACCTGCTGTGCTGTGCTAGTGGCCTGGGAGCACTCTGGGCACATCAGTGCTTGCTTTGGGGGCACTAACACTGCTGTTTTCATTTTCAAACAGAGGGAGTTCCCCAAGTTCTTCACCTTCCGTGCCCGGGATAAGGTGAGTTGGATATTCTTAATACTTCTCTCCAAGTGTTGGCTTGGAGTTGCGTGCGGTGATTCACTGCTCAGAATCAGGACAAAACCTTCTGGTTTCTGTGGAAAAGAATCAGGACAAAACCTTCTGGTTTCTGTGGAAAACAAGGTTTTTTGAGGGGGGTGGGCTTGAGAACTTGCTGCCCTGCAGTCTGTGTTATTCAACAACTTCACAGCTCCCAGTGCTGCGTGAGATGGAAGAGTCTGGGTTGGATTTGTTTGAATTTTTGGAGTTTGAGTCAAATATGAAATTTCATAAGGGGCGTTGTGGGGTTCTTCCCTGAGTGTTTCACCTCTCCAATGCCCTCTTTCCCCCCTGTGCTGTGTCCCTGCAGTTTGAGGAGGACAGGATCTACAGGCACCTGGAGCCTGCCCTGGCCTTCCAGCTGGAGCTGAACCGCATGAGGAACTTTGACCTGACGGCCATCCCCTGTGCCAACCACAAGATGCACCTCTACCTGGGGGCTGCCAAGGTGGAGGTGGGCACAGAGGTCACAGACTACAGGTTCTTCGTCAGGGCCATCATAAGGCACTCGGACCTGGTCACCAAGGTGGGTTTGTGCCCGTGCACGGCTGTGGGTAACGCCAGGGTCACCCTGGGGAGCTGCAGGAGCCAAAAGGGACCATTCCCTGTGTGGAGGGCTGGGGTGGTGCCCTCTCCTTGCTGGTGCTGCTCTCAGAACCAGCCCTTTGGAGTTCCTGTGCTCGAGGGAGATTTTTCAGGGCCCAAGATGAGAGCTATAAATCCTTAGATCTGGAGGCAGCAGTGGCTTGCCCTGTGTAGTTTCAGATTTACTGTGAGCTAAAGGAGGGCACAGGGCAGCCAGGGGTGGGACCCAGGCACTGGGAGCACTGGCTCTGTGCTGGGGATGGATCTGCTCCAGGGCTGCACGTGGGGTTTGTCCTCTCCATCCCACCTTCCTGCAGCTCTCCAAGCTGTGGAGAATTCCTCTCCATTTTCCTCTCCATCCCACCCTCCCGCAGCTCTCCAAGCCTTGCTTTCTGTGTGGCAGTGATTTGTGAGCCAGAACTCAGTGTTTTGTTGGCACTCCTGGCAGGAAGCCTCCTTTGAGTACCTGCAGAACGAGGGTGAGCGTTTGCTGCTGGAGGCCATGGACGAGCTGGAGGTGGCCTTCAACAACACCAACGTGCGCACGGACTGCAACCACATCTTCCTCAACTTCGTGCCCACCGTCATCATGGACCCCTCCAAGGTGGGACCTCCTGCCCAGCTCGTCCTTCCAGGGCTTCACTTGTCAGAAATAAAATGTTTTCTGTTCATAGAATCATGGAGTGGTTTGGGTGGAAGGGACCTTCAAGCTCATCCTGTTCCAACCCTGACACCTTCCACTGTCCCAAGCCCCATCCAACCTGTCCTTGGACACTCCGAGCCTTTGCCAGGTCCTCCCCACTCTCATAATCAGGAATTTCTTCCCAATATCCCACCCAACCCTGCCCTCTGGCACTTTAAAGCCGTTTTGTTGTGCAGCTCAGCTCCTCTGTGTAAACTGAGGGACAATTATTGGAAATATGTTTTGTGTTTGAAACCAAACCTATTTTTTCATTGTGTGTTTGAGGTAAACAGTTTTAATAAGGAAGCAGGTCTTCTGTTTGTTGCAAAAGTTGAGATTCCATGCAAATAAAACATGAGATAAATTAGGAGCTTAAAAAGAATCTGTAAATTCAGCTACTAAAGTAGCTCATTTTCAGTCTCTGGTGCAAAAGCACAGAGATGAACGTTATAAATAAATGAACATTAAATTTTGTAGATGCACAAATGAAAGTGTTCAGGCATAAAGGAGGTTTGTGGCTAGCAGAATCACCACAAAGCAAGTCCCAAACCCAGGCTGAACTTAGCTGGAAATCAGCATTCAGTTCATGGGTACCCTAAGATGAGAGCTGACCTTTCCTGAGGAGAGCAGCCGAAAGTTAGAAAGATGAATTGGGTATCAAAATAACTCTCTCTTGCTTGCTGACTTTTAAATCATGATTAGAAATTGGTGGCTTAAATCCCTTTTGGATGAGCCTTTCCTCGTGCATCCAGAGGTGTTGGTTCCCAGGAAGTTCAGAAGAAGCTGGAATATTCATCCCTGGAAGTTGGGCTGCCCTCAGATACAAACCATGACTTTTCCTTGAGCTGCTGTGCAAAAGAGACTTTTTTTGGGAAAAATGCTTAACCCAGCCTATAAATTGCCTTCTTTTAATATGTGCTTTGCCCACAGTGGTATTTTATAAAGTTTAATAGAAGAGCAGAAGGCCCAGCTCCAAGTGGTAATTGCTTTGTTGATTTAAAGCTCCGTGCAGGCAGTGAAATGTGATTATTGTGCATACAAGGGCTACAAAACTGCTTGCCAAGGATTTGGCTTCCCTGGATTCTGTAGCTCCCAGGTGTGAGTGGTGCCTGTGCAGGGGAGGCAGGGGCTCCCTGTGCTGGGGTGGGGTGTGTTGGTTGTGCTTGATGATCACCAAGATCTTTTCCAACCTAATTATTCTGTTATTCTGTGTGCCATGAGGAAGCAGGGATGTGAATCCAGCCCTGTCCCACTACATCAGTCCCCAGGTGGAGTTCCTGCGTGTTTCAAGGCTTAGGATGAGGAGGGACAGGGTCACCAAGGTGCTGTCACTGCACCGGGCACACTGTGCTGATGTGTGGTGCTTCTTCACCACCTTGGAGCCGTGGGAAGAGAGGGACGCAGAGCAGTGATGGATCCAGGAGGAATCCCAGAATGGTTTGGGTTGGAGGGGACCTTAGAGCCCCTGGCACAGGCAGGGCCACCTCCCAGCCCTGCTGAGGAAGCCTCAGAGCCCTGCTGAGGAAGGCTTTTCCCCCTTTCCCCCATGCAGATCGAGGAGTCGGTGCGCTCCATGGTGATGCGCTACGGCAGCCGCCTGTGGAAGCTGCGGGTGCTGCAGGCCGAGCTGAAGATCAACATCCGCCTGACGCCCACGGGCAAGGCCATCCCCATCCGCCTCTTCCTCACCAACGAGTCGGGCTACTACCTGGACATCAGCCTCTACAAGGAGGTGACAGACTCCAGGACGGGCCAGGTGCGTGCCTGAGGATGCGGGGCTGGGTGGGACCGTCGGGAAGGGGACATGTTCCACCTGGTGGAGCTCCTCTGTGGGCTGTGGTGTTTCCAGGGAATCACAGAATGGTTTGGGTTGGGAGGCACCCTGGAGCTCATCCCATTCCAGCCCCCTGCCCTGGGCATGGATGTTGGAGTCCTGGGTGCTGGGAATTTTAAACTTTCTGTGCTGAAGGGCACAAGAAAATGGAGGCAATGCAGTGATGAAGTGGCACATCCTCACACGGACACCTTCCACTAGACCAGGTTGCTTCAAGCCCCATAATACATTTTAATTTAACACAAAATTGCCGTTCAGCTTAGCCAAAGGAAGGAGAATGGAAAAATAAACTTGCAGCAGCAGATGTGAAAATGTGAGCAATTAAATCAGTCAGGATTTCTGGTTGTTTTGTGCCCTCAGTCAGTTGGGCACCTGTTTTCCCCAACGGTTTTCCTCAGAGTGCTCAAAAAAATACTAGAAGAGGAATCACTGCTGATGCTCATCCTGTAGGTTGTAATAAAAAGATATTATTAATTGTACATTTTTCTGAGTAGATAGAAGAAAATGTGTGAACATGTCCTTTAAATTCTAAAGATATAAGGGATGACCTGGATAGGAAGATGTAAAATTATGGAAGGTGCTTTTATATCATTTTTCTGAAGCGTAATGGGCTCTTTTGGAATGGTTGTGGCTGTTGTGGCATTTCTGTTTTCCATGGTGTGGGAACAGTGTGGTTAACTGCAATACCTACATATGCTAAAATCCATGGAGCATGGGATGCATAGAAAATATTTAAATAGAGAAATGTTTACATCTCCCTCTGTAATCATCTCTCTGCCAGGCAGGAGAAGCAGCAGAATAAATCACTTGGGCGCTGTGAATGTAGCACACAAAGTGCTGAGTCACCTTTCTCCCCCTTTTTCCATTTAATTTTTCCAGTGCTGGCCGTGGAGTCCATCCAGCTCTGAGATCCCAGAGCAGATAGTGTCAGTGTGTTTTACCTCATTCCTGCCTTTGAGGGGAGATGAGGAAAGAAAAGAACATTTTAATAATCTCCAGCAGCTCAGCTTAACCCTTGAGTTGGGTCAGTCACTTGTGAAGGTCACAAGTGAACTCTGAACTGATGAGCTTTGTTATTTAAAGCTTGGGGAATGGGCTCCTGTGGATGTGTGAGGCTTTAGATGCTTTCCAGTATTAAATTTGATTTGTTTTCCAGAATATTAACCACATTTTAGTAAAAAAAATACACTGATATTTTTAGGAAGCTTCGTCCTCGTGGTGGAGGTTTATAGGGCAAGTTCAGATCTGGGGATTTTTCCTGTCTTTCCAGAGGGTTCTTTTAAACTTAGAGAAATCTTTCCAAAAAAATTCAGATATTTCTGATGCGCTGGGTACTTTCATGACTTCTGAAGAATGGGAGGATGGCTTCATGGTGAGAGAATGACCCTGATCTCTTGTTTCTCAGTAGTGATAAGTGGTAATGCTCTGCACAGACTTCTCCAGTTCCCTTCAGAGCTGCTGTGGAGCTTTCCAGAGATTTAAGGAGAATTTCCAAGTGCAGATCCTGGCAGATCCCAAGACAGGCATTGCCACAAACACTCATTACCCTGAATAAATGCTTCTCCCATTAAAGAAGCTGCCTCCCAAATCAATGTTTGTGCAGCCTGAAGAGAGCATAAACTGCTGGTTTGATCTAAAAATAAAAATAGGCTTAACTGAATTTTGTGTAACTCTTCAATTCATTCCTCTTCACTTAGCCAAATTCTGTGAAACACATCCTGAACATGTCCCCTCTGCCAGGTGTGTCCCTGTTAAACAGGGTTTGGGCCGTTTGAGGCGTTTTTATCCCGTTTTTATCTCCTCCTGTTTCTCCCTTGGAAAGCTTCCCTTCCAAGTCCTGCCTGCCCAGAATATATAGTGCCGTGCAGCACGGCAGTTGATAATTCATGTTGCTACTCTGGGAAAATCTTTTAGACTTACAATATCAGAACTTCAAGCCCCATGACATACGCGAGTCCTGACCCGGCAGGCGGGCGCAGCCGCGGATCCCCATCCGTAAATAACGGAGCTCTCCTGGCTGCTGCCAGCATCCCTGGGCACTGACAGGGCTCAGGGAGCTGCTGGGCACCGGGAGCTCCTCCCAGGGCCCAGTTTGTGCTGGGGAAGTGGCTCTGTGTGCTCCTCTGGGATGGGCAGTGAGTGTGGGACGGTGCAGTGACGGTCCTGAGGTGTCCCCAAAGGGCAGCAGTGAGTGATGGAGCCTGGCTGTGCCAGCCTTGCAGAGGGCAGGGACGAGCAGGCTGGAGCAGCCTGGGGGGTTTGCTGAGGGCTGGGTCAGCTCAATGTTCAGAACCACCCCTGGTTTGTCCTGCAGATCATGTTCCAGGCGTATGGAGACAAGCAGGGGCCGCTCCACGGGATGCTGATCAACACTCCCTACGTGACCAAGGACCTGCTGCAGTCCAAGAGGTTCCAGGCACAGACCTTGGGGACATCCTATGTCTATGACATTCCTGAGATGTTCAGGCAGGTGAGTGTTCCTTGGGCTCTCCTTGTTGCTCCTGTCTTTGCCATCCTCATTGCTGGGGGAGCCTGGAGCGGCTGCCAGTGGTCCCCAGGGATTATCAGCTATGGGTTGAATCTACTTTGAATGAAATTAGGATAAACTGGAGTTCCATCAATGGGTCAAACAGTGAAACATAAACCATCTCCCCTCTCTTGTTGCTGTTTGCTTTCCCATGATCTCATTTGCCTTTCCTAGGAGGCATTTCTAAATTGCTGCTTCTATCCCTAACCACCTCATTCACATTTCACTTTGGGTGAAACTGTTTCACAACGCAAATCCCAGAGCAGGTGCTGTCCCTGGAATACTGTCAGTCACGCTGGCAGGAGAGGGATATTTCAGGGTGCCCTGAGTTGGGAATGCCCCCAAATTCTGCTGGGAATACCACACTGGAGTAGATTGAAATATAAATATTAACACAGATATTTATGTTATATACAATATAATGTTATATTTATGTTACATATTATGTTATATATATATATTATGTAGATATGTATGTTATATGCAATATAACATTGTATTTACAATATATTTACAACAATATAACAATATATATGATATAATGTAAACATAACTTGCATTATATATTATATAATGTAAACATTTATATTTAAATTATTATATTTATATTAGTTATATCTATATTATATTTATACTATGTAATATAACTATGTTTATATTATACTATTATGTAACAATATTATTATATTAATATAATATTATTATAGTTATAATACTATTAATGTAAATATTAAGTAGATTGAAATATCAATATTGACGTAGATATTTATGTTATATACAATATAACGTTACATTTACGATGTATATGATATAATGTCAATATAACTTGTGTTATATACGATATGTAAATATTTACATTTAAATTATTATATTTATATATAATATAAATATATTATATTATTATTTATATCTATATGATATTCATATTATGCAATATAACTATATGTATATAATTATACTATTATATAACAATATCATTATATTAATATAATGTTATTATATTTATGATAATGTTAATATAAATATTAAGTAGATTGAAATATCAATATTGAATACAAATATTTGTGGGTGGCAGTGCTAACGAGGATTTCTCCTGTCCCCAGTCTCTGATCAAGCTGTGGAACTCCATGAGCGAGCACGCCGTCCTGCCCCCAGCGCCGCTGCCCTCGGACATCCTGACCTACACGGAGCTGGTGCTGGATGACCAGGGCCAGCTCGTGCACATGAACAGGCTGCCAGGAGGAAACGAGGCAAGTGCCCCTTCCCTGCCTGCTGCTGCTCCTTCCCTGCCCCTCAGGACCCCGTGCTTTGGGCTGGGTTTGGCCATTGTAATGAGAATTTACCAGCCGGGCACAGAATCCATCCCTTCAGCCTCTCACAGATGGAATCTCACTCTTGAAAATGAGATTTTTTTTGTTTCATTAAAAATTAATGCCTTCCCTACAATGGGTATTTTAACTTCCCTAGTAAATGATGGTTCCATTTCAAACCTGTGCCTATGCTGGGCTTCCTTCATAATTAAAAAATGCTCATTCAGCTGTTCCAGGTAACTGGGGTTTGTGTTTGAGCAAAATGTGTTTTACAAGACTAAATAGAAATATTTTCATTTGCTGAGAAAAACCCTAACCACAGAAAAATCTGTTTTATGCTTCCATTTCCATCCTCCCCACACAGCTGGTACCAAGGTGTGTGGAACCTCCCACTCTGGAGCAGGATTTACTCAAGGGTTACAACGAGCTGATGCTGAGGGTCACTCCTGGAGCTCGAGCAGGAGACTTTGCTGTCATGGTGGGGTTTTGCTGGGTGCAAAAAAATTGCAGCTTTGGAATGACTGCAGAGTAAAGAGAACCACTGGAAGATGTGGTGGTTATTTTTGTGGGAATTAGTAAGTGAATGTTCTAAAGTAATTTAAATTTGAACAGCCTTAAGTGATGGTATCATTTATTTTTTCTTGGTGTCGTTGAACTATATTTTCCTAAAAGCACAGCTTAAGGTTTGCAAAGGCTCTGTTAAACCCATCAGGGTAGGGATGCAAGGAAACAGAGGTTTTCCTCACAATTTCCTGCATGCATCTTGTCAGGGGGGAAGGTTTGGAACAGGATTTTTGCAAATTACCCCTGATGGTGTCCGTGGGGTCGCTGCGGCCTTGTCTTCTGCTGGACTGGAGCAGAAATGTTTGAACTGCTCTGATTAAAGCTGGAATGAGCTGTTCCCTGTTCCCAGGGCAGGCTGGGGCTGCTGGGGAGCCCTGTGCCATCATCTTTCTCTCCTTCCCTGCTCTCATTCAGCGCTGGAGTGGATGGTGGCTGGGGAAATAGCAAAGTCCCTCAGGGACGTCGCTCTGTTCTTGCTGAAATTACAAGCACAGAGCTGCCTGGGCATGAGCATGTAGTGTTTACTCTGCCAGTATGAATACAAATAGTCTTATTATAAGAGATTCTGTACCCAAAGACCACCAAAAAAAAAAATTAGGAGATTTTTTTTTAACCCTTGGTTGTGCTGGGTCTGTGAAGAAATCACATGGCTGTTGTGGTGTGTGCGGTGTTGGTATTTAAATTAATCTGATCTGATGTGATCTCTCAAATGTCTTCTTGCCCAGAGGGGTTGTAGAGGTTGTGGGCTCCCCATCCCTGGCAGTGCCCCAGGCCAGGCTGGATGGGCTTGGAGCAGCCTGGGACAGTGGAAGGTGTCCCTGCCATGGCAGGGGTGGCACTGGGTGGGCACTGAGGTCCCTCCAACTCTGAGTCTGTGCCCCAGACATCCAGAGCTGGTCCCAGTGAGCTGGCTGACAGGTGAAATAGGAACTTCTCAGGGAAATGTGAGATTTTTGTTATTATTTTTCTTTCTTGCCAGCAAAAGGTGCTGGTTCTCTGAATTCAGACTCGTTGGAGAGGTTGCCCATTGTGTTTTCTAGTAAAGAGGAGATGTCTGCTGGGAATTGCTGTCTGTGGTAAAGGTTGTTGTTGCTGGGTACATCCAGGTTCCTGCTCTCCTTGTTTTGGATCAGAGGCTCAGAGCCATTCCCACATTGCAGTGGGAGCCTGGCACCGGGGGATCAGGGCTTGGCCTTGCTGACAGGTGCATTTCCTCCGTGTCAAAAGGGGTCAAGGCACCCCTGCTGTTACAGCATTCAGCTGAGCTGAGTGCCCCGAGTGTCTGAGCTGATGGGAGGAATTGAGAAAGCAGCAGAAAATCAGGAGATGTGTGGGCAGCCAGGGCTGCAGTCCCTGCTCTGACAGGGCAGGGCAGGAGCTCCAGCCTGGGCTCTCCCTGTCCTCACAGAGCTGGCCAGCAGCATTTTGGGCAATAATCTGTGTTTTCAGGACAATCTGGAGGTCTCAGGGCTTCTCCCAATCCCAGAGGTTTTCCTGGTAGCTCAGGACCACTCCCCTTGCCCACCACCCCATTGCAGTAATTAGCTCTTTGCTGTGGTCTCAACAAAGAGGCCAGGGAATTAATGGACTGTGAAAATACAAGTTGCTCTTTATTCCTAGGCTGCTCCAGAGCAGAGGGTCCCAGTTCTTGTGGGCTGGCCCTGCCCTTGGGGCACAGCACCATCGCTGCAGGGCCTTTTCCATCCCCTGACCATCCAGAGGACACCTCCTCTTCCACTTTGTCACAGACTCCCAGACTGGTTTGGGTTGGAAGGACCTTAAACCTCATCCTGTTCCACCCCTGCCGTGGGGCTGTGCTGAAATGGGGAATTCTCTGAAAGGGCTGGGAATTGGTGAGCACAGAGCAGTTTGGGAGTGTCTCCAGCACTGTGTAAATCACCGTGCTGGAGACAAGACCTGGAGCACGGTGACACCCCCTGCAAAGCCCAGGGCTTTGTTCCCCAGATTAGCATATTAGCACAAATCTCAGTGTGAAAAGGTAATTCCCTCAGCCCCTTGCAGAACTCAATAAATTCCTTGTCAGTCCTGAGCCAGGCATTGGGATGCTTTTCTATAGCACTTTATGTATTTTGACTACAATTTCCCCTGATCCTCTGGCACCAGGAAAGCACCAGCTGCTGATAAGAGCCAACTAATCTTCAAGGACAAGGAGAAAGTGATGTAAGGAGGGCCTGCAGCAACACCCCACATCCCCCCTCATCCCTCTGCTGCCCGTGCCCATGGAAAATGTCATTTTCCCCACTGGCACTAGATGTCACAGTTTTTCCTCCTCAGCAGCACGAGGATCAGAAATAATCCACAATCACCGCTGCTGGCTGGAGCTTTGGCTGCTGCACCTCTCCTGGCTAGCTGGGGAGGTTTGGGCAGGGGAAATTCGGGATGGCAGAGGGCTCCTGGAACGCTGCTCTGGTGGCTTCCCACATTGCCAGAGGCAGGAAGGTGTAGCTAATGCATTTTATACAAGCACAGCTTCATTGCTGAGCTGCATGTTCTGCTTTGTCACCCCCTGTTCCTGCATTTTATGGCAGGCACAGGGAATTAAAACAGCAGCCAGAGCTGCAGGTTTCTTGGAGGGTTTTCAAATCCTCCAAATCCTTCCAGGAGCAGGGATGGGAGAGGTGGCACAGTTTTATTCTCTGTGCTCATACAGATGTTTGAACAGGTGTATGTGGCTCACAAGGATACAGGAATGTTCTTGCCCACAGGAAAGCCCCCGATGAAGGCTGTGTGTTGCTCTCTGTCATGTATCTTTACCATCTGTAACCTCAGGAGGAATTTCCCCATGGAAAGGGTGGCACTTGAAGGGTGGTTCGGAGTCCCCATCCCTGGGGGTGTCCAAGCAGTGACTGGATGTGGCACTCTGGTCTGGGTGACCAGGTGGGGATGGGTCACAGGTTGGACTCGATGATCTTGGAGATGTTTTCCAAACCTGGGTGGTTCAGGAGCTCTGTGACACCTTTCCCTGAGCTCTTGGTGTCACGCTGGAGCTGTTCCCTGCCATTGCTCAGATCGTGCCAGCGTGCTTGGCTGGGCTGCCACCACCACGCTTGGGTTGCTGAGGGACACCTTTTCCAGAGCCAAGAAGGAATCCTGGCTTTTGGCACTCCACCCTTCTCAAGGCACGGAGCTGGAATGCCTCTGGCAAGCCACGTGCACTCTGCCCTTTTCCTGGGAGCTGGTTTGTGCTCCAGGTAAAAACTCAAAAGCTCTGCACAGTGTAAGTGCAGAGAGTCTTAGTTCTGAAGTTCCAGACAGCAGATTCAAATGATGAAATGCCAAAATTGCTGCATCTGCACCAAGTAAATACCCACATTCAGCTTTCAAAATTTGAATGTGAATGGATAAAATGAAGCCTGGCCTTCAGTCCCCAGGCTCAGCACCATCCTGTAGTGAGGGAAGTAGAATAAACCAGCACTGATCTCTTCTCTCTGGTTCCCAGTGATGGGACCTAAGGGAACAGCTGGAGCTGTGCCAGGGGAAGGTTTAGGTTGGATATTAGGAAAAGGTTTTTCTCCCAGAGGGTGGTGGAGCACTGAACAAGCTCCCCAGGGAGTGGTCAAGGCTGCCAGAGCTGCAGGAGTGTTTGGACAACGCTCTCAGGGATGCACAAGGTGGGATTGTCAGGGTGTCTGTGCAGGGCTGTGAATTAGACTGGATGATCCCTTCCAGCTCAGGATATTCCGTGATTCTGTTGGCTGTGCTTTTGCAGGAATTACAGAACCTGCCAGAGAGAGGCTGCAAAGCTCCCTGTCCCCAGCTGCCAGTGGCATTGGCTCCCTCTGCTCGGAGCGAGCCTGGGATCGGCTCCTTCCCGCTCCCCTCGGAGCCTGCTGTCAACAGCTCTGCCTGCCACCGGCAGTCAATTTGGAACTGCATCAGTGTGTGTATTACTGTTCCCATCGATAGTGCAATTAATGTTGAAGTCAATTTTGGTGTTAATTTTAGGCCATGATTAGTGTTGACACTGGGTGTCAAACGAGCGGCGTTTACGAGCGCCGGGGAAGCGCCGTTCGTTAGCGCGCCCGTTTTACTGGCTCTTAATGCTTCCATTAAGGCCAGGATGGAGTGGGAGAAGGTGTGTGTAAAATTATACATCTGAAACTTGGGTGTCATCTCCGTGTGTCTGCGGGGCTGGGGCCGTTCAGGGAGCAAATGACAGCTGAGCACTGAATCCTAATCACAGTTTGGAGCATCAGAAATAATGATCACTTCTGATCGGGGCTTGTGAATAATTCATCCCCTTTGATTTTCACGTGCTGCCCACTGATACTTTTCAAACCAAATGTGTTCCTACAGGAGAATAATGGTCCCACTTCTTATGGAAATACCAGGGCACAAATCATTTTGCCAACATAAAAACAGTTAAATAAGATGGTTCCTGCTTTTATTTTTCCTCTGCCTCTTCTTCACTCCTGGGTGTGCTGGGAATGGAGCCGTGGCAGGAGCAGCACTTCCAAACTGTGCTGCCTCTTCAAAGGAGCCTGTTCCAAAGCCAGGGCTGCTCACCATCACCTACCATTGCCTGCCAGTGCTCTTAGGTGATTAGCTCAGCCTGGCTAATTAACCTGGGAACTCTCCAGTTTTTGGAGTGCTGCCGTTAACTTAAAAATCTCGTTATTCTTTTTTTTTTTTTTTTTTCTGGAATAGAAAGTCATTCTCCACTGCCCATAAATCTCAACTGAATCTAGCAAATTCATAGCAAAAAAAAATCCTTAGTTGTGCAGATCCCCGTGGCTTTTATTACTGGATAAATGGCACAAAACATGTGATGAATTGGGGAGGTAAAAGACACCCAAGTTAATAGTGGTGCACTTTTAATTTTTTTCTTCCTAAACTGTATAGGGTTGTTCCATATTTGTCAGCTGTAAACTGTTTTCAGGAGTTTGTGCCCTGGCTAGGTTGTTTCTGTTCTGCTGGTGAGCACTGGCAAAAGGGACTTTACTGGTGTACAGGACCCACGACCTTGGGTTAGGAAACTATTCCAACACCTCTGTTACAATCTGAATTTTCTAAATAAGAAATGCCTTAAATTGGCCTGTTTCCTGTGCTGTTAAAAATCATCAAGCTGCTGAAAGTGAGGAAAATCCCTTACATCCTGTAGGTGGGATGGAGTGTGGGACCAGCCCTGGGGACTCCCTGGTCCATCACTGGTCCCTCAGCCCTGGCTGGTGGGGTCAGTGTGGCTGTAGGGAAACAACTGTCAGGGATTTCTGCTCCCTTCTTTGGAGCTGCAGCATCTCTCTGTTCCAAACCCTGCAGCTGGATGCTGAGGGGGAACTGTAGATCTGCAAATGTTCAGAGGCAAAAAGATTATTCTGTTCCGACTTGTCAGAGTAGGAGTGGAGGAATGCAAGGAGAAGGTGAACTGCAACACTCTGTTAACTTGCAATCTCAGCTCTTGGAAGGGGAGGTGTAAGGAAGGATCTGCCAGTAGCTGGCTGTAATATTTTTGGATTGCTGCCTGCTTTACTTCCAATGACCCTTTGATTAATTCCTCTGCCTCTTTATTTTTTTTAATGAGCCTATTATGGCATATCTTATTGCAGATGCTGATTGGATCTGGGCTGTGTATTGTGCCATTTGGATGTGGATTAAATGGCACAGATCTATCTGCTGCCTCTCCCCCTCCCGCTTTAGTTCATCATGCTCAGAATTCCGAGGCTCCACAATGAGAGCCTCAGCCCTGCTGATTGCAGAGGATGTGCAATCGGCTTGAGGAATGTGTACTCAGGGCTTATGATCCTTGGGCAAGCGGGGACTGGGTGATGCATGTGGCTTTCAAGGGACGCTGCTGCTCCCATCTGTTAATGGCACTCGGAGCCCCGAGCGCTGCCTGAGGGATGGGGCAGCCAGGGGAGGGATGGATGCTGATCCTTCAGGAGATGGGGCAGCCAGGGAAAGGAGGGAGGGACGGGGCAAGCAGGGATCTGAGGGATGCTGCTGATCCTCCAGGAGATGGGGCAGCAGAGATCAGTGATTTTTCGGGGAAGAAAAATGTGTGGCAAAAGGCGTTGCTTAGCCAGGCGGTTTTGGGATGGAGCTGCTGTGAAACTGGGGAAGAGAGAAGGGAAGAGAGGAAGAAATGAAGGGATATCTGAGATAGCAATGAAGTGAAAAGGGGCTTAAAATGAGGGTTGGGTGAGGGGGATGAGGGTGTGGGGTGATACCTGGGAAGGCTGAGCAGCAGCACATCCCAGCTCACCCTGGGAGCACAGGGAATGCACAGCTCCCTGCGAGAGGGATGTGTTGGACCTGTGATAAATCCCTGAAAAGGGAGAGGGAGAACCAGTGTGAGTGTCCTGGTGGAGTGAGGGCAGTGCAGAACGTGCTCCAAGGAGTGTGGGAAGCATCAAGTGCTTCCAGCTGTGCTGTGCACTGGCAGTGCCCATCAGAGCTGCTGTCACCCCCAGGAAAATACGCCAAGTCCAAGAGAATTCCTGTGTGACTCCTTTCCCTCACACCTTGAGGACACAGTGTTCATTTAGTGCCGTTCTCTTCTCCTGGCCTGCAGATCGGCATGGTGGCCTGGAAGATGACCCTGAAGACCCCCGAGTACCCGGAGGGCCGGGATATCATTGTCATAGGCAACGACATCACGTACAAGATCGGCTCCTTTGGGCCCCAGGAGGACGTGCTGTTCCTCAGGGCCTCGGAGCTGGCCCGGGCCCAGGGCATCCCCCGCATCTACGTGGCTGCCAACAGCGGGGCCAGGATCGGGCTGGCCGAGGAGATCCGGCACATGTTCCACGTGGCCTGGGAGGACCCCGACAACCCCTACAAGGTGAGGGAAACACAGGGGGAACGCTGCAGCAGCCCACAGCAGGCTTGCTTTGATAGCACCTTGTTGTATTTGCTCCCCAGACAGAGGAAGGAATGATGGATTTGATTCTGTGTTCTTAGAAAGTTAATTTATTATTTTATGATACGATATTATATAAAGGAATACTATATTAAACTATACTAAAGAATACGGAAAGAATACTTAGAGAAGTATAAGTTTATATTATTTATAAGAGTACTTATGCAGGTATAAGTTTATATTTTTAACCTTATAGAAGGTTAAAAAGATAATAATGAAAACTCGTGGCTCTTTCCAGAGCTTCAACACAGTTTGGCTGTGATTGGCCAATAAGTCAAAACGATTCACATGAAGCTAATGGAACAATCTCCAAACACATTCCAACACAGCAAAACACAGGAGAAGCAATGAGATAATATTGTTTTCTTTTTTCTCTGGGACTTCTCAGCTTCCCAGGAAAAGAATCCTAAACAAAAAGATTTTTCCAGAAAATATAACTGTGACAGCACCTCTTCTAGCAGAGGCGAGGGTAAGGATTTCACAGTTTTGTGTCCAAGGTTCTCCTCAGTATTGGATGTAGAACACTGGAATTGTCCATGCTGGATGAAATGCTAAGCTGGATGAAGCTGGGAGCAACCTGGTCTTTTCTAACCCAAACCATTCCATAACAGGATTTTACCATCTCCCAAACAGCAGGTTGGCATCTAGAAGGAGTTAGTGCTAAATATTGCACCATCCCCAGCCAAATATTGCACCATTCCCAACTTTCACTGGCCTCAGCTGCATCTCCAATGTAGAGAGAATATTCTTACCACTCTGTGGAATTTAATTCTGTGGAAGTTTGGTTTTGGAAGGAGTTACAGGGGATGAGGAAGGGGCTACAGGTGGGACTGGGATGAACGAGCTGTTTTTCCTTGCAGGGATACAAATACCTGTACCTGACTCCTCAAGACTACAAGAAAGTCAGTGCCTTGAACTCTGTTCACTGTGAGCACGTGGAGGAAAATGGAGAGTCCAGGTAGGCATGGAAAGCTTTCTGTTCATCCTTGGGGCATGCAGGGCATGTCCTTGTCCTCAGCTGGGGCATTCCCTAGGGTAGGGGATGGAGGCATGGGAGAAGGAAATGAAGAAAAGGTGAGAGTCTTGTTGTAATCCTTGTTTTTTTCATCTTTCCCTTTGTCTGCATTCCCTTCCTTTCGTAATTCCCTTTCCCTTCCTAATTTTCCTATTAATCAGCCTGCTCCTCAGGTCCTGTGGGAATGACAGGACACTTTCCCCAGGCCTCGCTCTCCCTTGGCCTTTCCCCTTGCAGTGCTGCTCCTGTGGGAAGGTTCCATGGTGCTGCAGGACGGGCCCTGCCCAGCCCCTGCCCGGGCTTCATGCACATTTCCCCTTGGAGCCTTAATGATATTTAGTCACTTTCCATTTTCTTTGTAGCAAACTGATTCAGCAAATCAGTGGACCTTGTGGCTCAGGGGCTGTGTGTGTCTCCCTCAGGTACAAGATAACGGATATTATCGGCAAGGAGGACGGGCTTGGAGTAGAGAACCTCAGAGCATCTGGCATGATTGCTGGAGAATCATCTTTAGCCTATGATAGTGTTATCACCATCAGCTTGGTAATCCCCCACTGCTTTCTATTCTTCAAATGTATTGTCTGTTTCAGCTAAAAATCCTGTGATGATATCCCGAGCATCCATCTGGGATCGGCCTTCTGGCTGATGGAAATGGGCTCCTGTAGGCTTTGAGCAATGCTCCTGGCACCAGTGCAGGGCTGGGTCCCCTCCACACTCAATTTAAAACACTTCAGGCATTTGGCCTCACATTTGCTCCGTCTGAAAATTGCTGCTTGTCTTTTTTGTTTTTTTTTTAATAAAATACATTTATGTTCAGATCCTGTGTTGTACAAAGCACTGGATTCTGGAATTTTCCAGTGAGACTAGATTTCATGGCCTTGTACTACAAACACACCTAGTTTCATCTCAGTGTTTGAATCAATAGGTTGTGGCTGTGTGGAGAGACAGAAATCAATGCCGTTGCTTTTTCCTTTTTTTCCCTTCTTCCCTTTTTCCCCAGGTGACGTGTCGGGCGATCGGGATCGGGGCCTACATCGTGCGGCTGGGCCAGAGAACCATCCAGGTGGAGAACTCCCACATCATCCTCACGGGCTGTGGGGCCCTCAACAAGGTGAGTGCCTGCATTTCAGCCCTCAGGGCCCTCAGGGTGCTCATGGAGTCTGGCATGGTGTGGGCTGAAGGAGGAGAGAAGCTCTCAGAGCCCTCAGGGTGCTCATGGAGTCTGGCATGGTATGGGTTCAAGGAGGAGAGCAGCCCTCAGGGCCCTCAGGGTGCTCATGGAGTCTGGCATGGTGTGGGCTCAAGGAGGAGAGAAGCCCTCAGGGTGCTCATGGAGTCTGGCATGGTATGGGTTCAAGGAGGAGAGCAGCCCTCAGGGCCCTCAGGGTGCTCATGGAGTCTGGCATGGTGTGGGCTCAAGGAGGAGAGAAGCCCTCAGGGTGCTCATGGAGTCTGGCATGGTGTGGGCTCAAGGAGGAGAGAAGCCCTCAGGGCCCTCAGGGTGCTCATGGAGTCTGGCATGGTGTGGGCTCAAGGAGGAGAGAAGCCCTCAGGGTGCTCATGGAGTCTGGCATGGTGTGGGCTCAAGGAGGAGAGAAGCCCTCAGGGTGCTCATGGAGTCTGGCATGGTGTGGGCTCAAGGAGGAGAGAAGCCCTCAGGGTGCTCATGGAGTCTGGCATGGTGTGGGCTCAAGGAGGAGAGCAGCTCTCCATAGAGGTTGTGTGTGATGGTGGTCTGAGGATGAGGGAAGAGACGGAGATCTGACTCTATGTTTTAGAAGGCTTGATTTATTATTTTATGATATATATTACATTAAAACTATACTAAAAGAATAGAAGAAAAGGTTTCATCTCAGGAGGCCAGCTAAGCTAAGAATAGAATCAGAAAGAATGATAACAAAGGCAGCTGCCTCAGACTCTCTGTCCAAGCCAGCTGGGCTGTGATTGGCCATTAATTATGAACATCTAAGACGGGCTAATCAAAGATGCACCTGTTGCATTCCACAGCAGCAGATAATCATTCTTTACATTTTGTTCCTGAGGCCTCTCAGCTTCTCAGGAGGAAAAAATCCTAAAGAAAGGATTTTCAATAAAAAGATGTCTGCGACAGTTGTGGGCACGCATTGAATCCCAGGCAGGGCCTTCTCCCACCCTCTGAGGGCTGTGAGGGGAACCAGGGCTAATCTCAGGGTCTGAAAGTTCCTGCTCCAAAATACATGGCCCAGAGTCCCCTGAATTCTGGCCACCCCCAGCATTGTGTAAGTTCTGAGGAGCTTGGATACTGTTTTTCTAGGCTGGGAGCGAGATCTCCTGCTGGAAACCTCAGCTGTGTGGGGACAGGAGGAATAACTGGGGCTGTTACAAAGAAAACTTACAGCCTCACTGCTAAAGTGGCTCTTTTTTCCCCCCCACTCCAGAGGCAGATTTTCTTGTCCCTTGCTGCCCCAAGCCCATTAATCCCCCAGGCTGCAGCCTGGTGCAGACACAGCTCCCAGCCCACTCTGCTCCATGGCTGTCCCTGAGGGCTTTGTTTCCCTGAGTTGGGGCTGTGTGCTGTGAGTGCCCTTCCCCATCGAGCAGCTTTGTTCTCAGGCACTCTCAGCACCTGGGGTGCCTGTACTCCATGGCAAGCTGTGTTTCCAGGAGTGCCTGCCTGACAATGGGAGATAAAGGAAAACAGGCTCTTGTTGAATTATTCTCCTGAATAAAGGGGGCTCTGCAGAAAATGAAGCATTGATCCTATCAACTCTAGGCTGCAGCACCCTCAGTTAGATCTCTTACACACATCACACACACCTGCATCAATGGGAGGAAAAGAGGCATTTGAAGATCCAGCCTTTAAAAAGAAATTGAGTCAGTTTAGTGCTTGCTGGAGTGCAGTGAGTTGCCTGGTTCCAGCTGTCACTTGCTGGGGCCCTGCAGAGTTTCCCAGATGGCAGGGCCAGGCTGTTCAGCTCTCCCCTCTTCCAGGTTTAGCTGCACTCCCTGCCCCTGCTCTCAGTGCCTGTTTGCACAGGACTCCTTTAATCCCACTGAATTTTAGGCACTTAAAAATTAATAGTATGGAGTGAATTAAGCACCTGACCTCTGCCAGCAGGCACAGGCAGAAGGAGCTGCTTTCTGTGGGGGATTTATCCCATCCTGAGAATTTCAGTGGGCTCAACAAAATCCTGTGTGTCCCTTCCCCTCCTCCCTGCTCTGCTGGGATGCTTGTGTCAGCTCTACCTGCCTGAAGGTGAGGGAGGAACCTGTTGCATCCTCCCCAGCTTTCCCAGCCAGCCCCAGCAGTGTTCACCTGCCCTTGACCAGTCCCCTCACTCCTGGGTGCGTGTGATGTCTGCTCCTTCAGAGATCCTCAGTTTCCAGTGCCTGCAGTGCTGCTCAGGGCTTCCTGGAGGAATCCAGCTACAGTTGTGTCCCAGAAATGTGTTTGAAGCAGGGAGCTGGTGTCCAGGGCTAGCCTGGAATGTCTGAGCTCAGTCTGGCTGATCTGAAGCAAGCAGTGGATGCTGATCCATGCAAGCACATCTTCAAAATGTCTCCTGTCCGCCAGCAGAACGTGCAGCACAAAACTGTTCCTGCAGCAATGGAGACAATTGGGCTTTCAGAGAGCAGGCAGGCCTTTCTGGGAAGTTGTTTCATTTTATTTTTTTCCCTGTGAAACGCTGGATTCTTTCTAATTTACAAAGGGAGCAGAGGGGAATGGTGACAAACATTATGTGCAGCCAGAGCTGCTGCTGGTCTTGTTCATTATCATTATGTAAAAGCAGCCTGAGGGTTTAGGTGTGGAGGGAAAGGTCCAGCTGCCAGAGCCAGGGGTGACCTCTAACTCAGATGATGAGCTCAAGGTCAGTGTCGCTTGGAGCTGCAGCTCCTGGTGCCTTCTGGGCTTGGCTCCTCACGTGCTGCTGGTGAGCACAGGGCACATCCTGGGGAGACAGCTGGGTTAGAGCACCCTGCAGCCCTTCCCTGGAAGGGAACCACCAGGGCTGTGCATGGTTCCATGCTGGAGCTTTGTCCCCATGCCCAGGTGAAGGTGCCATGCCCCAGGTGCCAGCACAGGGCACACAGGGCCGTGTTTCCCTGCCCCTTTTGTGTCCCCCATGCATTTCCCAGGGCTGTGCAGGGTTTCCCTGGTGGAGCTTTGTCCCCATGCCCAGGTGAAGGTGCCATGCCCCAGGTGCCAGCACAGGGCACACAGGGCCGTGTTTCCCTGCCCCTTCTGTGTCCCCAGAGCATTTCAGCAGGGCTGTGCAGCGTTTCCCTGGTGGAGCTTTGGCCCCATGCCCAGGTGAAGGTGCCATGCCCCAGGTGCCAGCACAGGGCACACAGGGCCGTGTTTCCCTGCCCCTTCTGTGTCCCCAGAGCATTTCAGCAGGGCTGTGCAGGGTTCCATGCTGGAGCTTTGTCCCCATGCCCAGGTGAAGGTGCCATGCCCCAGGTGCCAGCACAGGGCACACAGGGCTGTGTTTCCCTGCCCCTTCTGTGTCCCCAGAGCATTTCAGCAGGGCTGTGCAGGGTTTCCCTGGTGGAGCTTTGTCCCCATGCCCAGGTGAAGGTGCCATGCCCCAGGTGCCAGCACAGGGCACACAGGGCTGTGTTTCCCTGCCCCTTTTGTGTCCCCAGAGCATTGCAGCAGGGGTGGCTGGAGGGGTGGAAATGCCATTTCCCCGCTCGGGGTGAGCGTGTGCCGCGCTGTGCCGAGCCCGCTGACCCCCCTGCAAATTGAAATAATGATAATGCGCGTCTCCTGACTGCATCAAAGTATCAGCACATCAAAAGCCAGGAGGCATGAAATGCAAATGATAAAGTGAAAGCAGATGGATTGTGCATGATCGCCTGATGCCCAATGAATTTTAAAAGATGCTGGTTCACATGGGGAGAGGGGCTGAAATAAACACGTTATCCCTGCAATTTTTTCTTTTTTTTTCCCCCTTTTTTTTTTGTTCTTGCTGCTCACTCCTGACAATATTTTTTCACACTTCAGCGAGCAGCCACTCCATCTCCCTCCCTCCCTTCCCTCTCTTTCTCTCCCTCTCTCTCTGGCGCTGTCTCCACCTCACACACGTCTCGGGTCATGTCGCCGCAGCTCCGGTGGAAATAATAAGATATAAACCACGAGGTTGTTATTTGCATAGAAATAGCATGGAGCCCCAGGCAGCATGGGAGAAGGACACAGAGATCATTTGTCTAAAATTTTAATGAAAACTTTTGCTGAGGCAGAGATTTTTATTTTTTTTTTTTTTAAACTTCCCCTGCCTCCCCCTTTTTCTGCCCCCAAACCTTCCTCCTCTTCTTCCTCCCTCCCTCCCTCCCTTGCCTCATGATAACCTGAGCACGGGGTGATTTCAGACCTGACGTGCTGTGCCCTGCACCAACACCTCCATTTCCACGGGTTTTCTTTTTGATGGAAGTCAGACCAAAGAGCCTGGCATTCCCCATTCCTGCACTGCTTCCAGGGCTGTGTTCCATTTCAGCCCTTCCAAGGATGTTCCAGAGTCTGCCTCTGACCTATTTTTAATCAGTTTGCTCCTCCTTGTCTTTTGTGTTTAAAAGAAATCCCGTCTTGGAGGCTGTTGTGTTAATGGAAACAAATAGTGGCTTTCAGTCACGTTTTCCCTGCAGATGGGTGTTCTGGGCTTTTCCTGAGGGAAGCCAGGTTAGGCTGAGACTTTCGGGAGCAGGATTCCCATCAGTTTGTTGTGTACATGCTCAGCCAGGCTCTCAGACAGTTCATTTTGTGATGGTGATGAAGAGCTGCCCCGAAGCTGCCAGAGGTGACAGAATTCTGACCAGCCCTGGTTTGTTCCCCTCCTGTTTTAGCTTTATTTTCCCCCAAACCCTCTGGTGTTGACTTGCCCTGTGCTCGCCGTGGTTTGCTCAGAGCACCAGGGGTGAGCTGGACAAACCCCACCTGCCAGGACTCTGCAGGGAGGATGAGGGGCCACAAACTGAAATATGAAACATTCAAGGCACAGTTCAGCACTTTGGGCTTCATCTCCCTGCCTGGTCATGGGGTGGCATTTATGACCAGAATGGGTCAAAAAAGAAAAAAAAGTGTTATTTGGTCTTGTTGGATTCCTTTGCACGAGTTCAGAAGAGAATATCTTT